TGCAAATTATAACAACATGAATTGATTCATTCGCAGTATCAATTGTATAATTTGGTTTACTTGAATGTTGTAAAATTTCATCGTATAGTTTATATTTTGGTTTATCGTTACAAGCAAAAATTATCGAAATTAATAATAAACAATTCATTAGGGGTATTTTTAAGTTAAACTTTAAGGCAATTTTTTAATTAATAAACAATAACAATGTTAATCTATCAAAGTTATTTATAAATTTAGATGTATTCCTGTTTGAATGAATTACGAAGAAATTAATTAAGTTAATTATTTAATTTAAAATATTTGAATTAAACATAGAAATTGCTTATTGTTATAATTATAATAGTTTCTTATTTTATACTTTTTTTTTATAAATTAAGGACAGCCATTATTTTTTATTTAATGACTTACTTATTCTAGATTTTAAATAATTACTTAATTAAAAGATAACCTGTCTATGACACGGTGCGATGATTAAATAAATACCCGATTTGGTAAATTATGACGTTTAAGAGAAATTAAGAAAAAAAAGAAACAAGCAGTTGTTATGAATTTACTTTTATTCAATAATATACAAACTTTTTATAAATTAATTAAAAGGTTAAAAATTCGTAATTTATGAGTTTTTTTAAAGATCTCCTTTTTAAATAACATGATTTTAGCAAAAAAACGTATACTTTATGTTGTATAATTCACATACCACATTTTTAGAATAGACAAATGTTATTTTATTGAATTTATCCGTCGCGCATATTAGTAATTTAATTTAAAAATAGTGCATTTCTAAAACAAGAATGCTCATTAATCAACCTAAATATAAATAAGAAAATTTTTTAAACAACATGAGTCAAAGTAGTTTTAGTAACCAAAAACCTTCTACTATCCGCAAGTTTACTACCAATAGAACCTTTTATTGTAAAAACACTCTTAACTTGAAAATTAACAGATTTTTTCGTGACATCATCGAATGTTTTTTTGCAACAGGCACACTCCCTGAAAACCACGACACTTTAATTGTGTTATGACTATTTAATATTATTATTTAGTTAATAAAATAGATTTTTATTTTTCTTAGAATATAGAAGGCATTGTTTCTATTTTTTTTTACACACACGTACTGTCGGGTTTATGAAATTTATTTGAACAATGCTATTTTGTGAACGTTTTTTATGTTTAATTTTAGTCCGTTTTTATCCTTCCCGTAGTTCACGTATTTCTAGATGTGTAAAATATATTAAGAATATTTTCTAAATTTAAGTAATCAAATCTTATATTCAAGGACAGACCAAATTAATTTAAATTTGAATATGAGAAAGAGAAGTTACAGATTTATCATTTCGAAAAATTGTTTGCAAACAAAAGAATTGATTAAACAAGCCTTTGATAATGATCATGTGCTGATGGGAACATGCAATGTAAAGGAAAAAAAATTTCTACTATAATTTAAAAAATATATTTTTGTGATTCTATTAAAAACTTTTGCTTGTATTGTGTAACTATACTTTACATATTTTGTACAGAATAAAATATAACATACAAAAACTAAGCTTTATGTATTTTTAACAAATATTGTACTAATTATTAAATAAGAAAAAAAAGTTTTTGCTGCTGCAATACAAATTAAATTAAACATTTTTTTTTTTATTTTTTAACTTGGATTTTTTATTACAATGCAATCTTAATGTTTTTTTTCTATAAAAGCTGTTAAAAAATATAAAATATTTAAACAAAGAGTAAATAGTAATAAACTTTATTACTTATTGCATACTATCCCATATTTCATTACAAATTTTATAAAGTGGTACATTCCCATCCAATTCTGTATCTATATAACATTTCTTTCTTGTATTTCTAACTCTACAGATATGTTTCCCATCGTTTATAAACTCCAAACCAAATCCTTTAATAAGTTCAAGATATAATTGATTAAAGGAAGGTTTACTTATTGAACGTATTTCATCTGTATATTTTTTTATTAGTACATCCAGATCGTCAAATTCACTTTTCATTTTACTAAATTCATTTTCTAAATCTACGAACCTCTTTGCTAATTTTAACCGTTCACCGTTGACAATCTTGTATTTCTCATTATTTTTGTTATGTGACAATTTAATTTTACTAACTTCATTCTCCACATTTAAAATCTTCTTCTCTAAAATTTCTGTATTGTTAGCAATGTCTTGTAACACCTTAGAATTGTCTTTTACATTTCTTTTGTGTGTATCTATTACACTTTCAAGTAAATGTACATTAAGAAGATTATCGTAATCTGTTAGTTTTGCAAGGATACAATGAACTTCAGAAGAATTTTGCGGTTCCATAAAAAAAGGATAAAAAACAAAAATAATAAAAAGTGATACAAGAACTTACAATACATCATAATATATTAATAAAAATAATTAATTTATTTTTTCTGTAAGTAAATCTGATTCTCCTACATTTAAAACTGTCATAACTCCTGTTCTATACTTCAACTCACATAAATTAGCTAATGCATTATTTGTACCTTCATAGAATTTTAGTGGGATACCACCTGCAAGAACACAGTAATATTCTAACTGTTTTCTTTTAACAGCAGGAAGACTGCTTGATACGATAACACACTTTGCTTTCTTATTTATAATATTTTTCAATGCACTTCTAAACCCAATGTTATATTTACCAGTTTTAACTACCAAAGGAAGAGATGCAGCAAGTCCTACGGCTTTGGAATATCTACGACTCATTTTAAGGGTAAAAAATAAAAATTTTAAAATAAAAAAATCTACTAAAACTAACAGTTATTTAATTTTCTTCATTTCATCTTCAATTAATTGCATTCTCTCTACAACAGTAGGATGACTGTTGTAAAATGTAGAATACAAGCTATCAGGAGATAAGTTACCTTTGTTTTCCTTACTTAGCTTAACTAATGCACTAGAAAGCTCTTTTCCATAACCCTGTTTAACAGCATAAACATCTGCCTCCCTTTCAAAACTTCTCGATAAAACATTATTAGACAAAGAGATAGGTATTTCTGCAATATTTAAAAAATAAACAACATACATTAACTTTATAATCAGTGGTTCATTCTGATAAAATAATGCCTTGCTAAAATACTCGTTATTAAGTAACTGATTTGTAGACCAAAAATAAAATAATTGTTGAATTAAGGCACAAAAAACAAGCTTAAGTGTATGACTTTTGTACCAATGGCCAAATTCATGGCAAAGAACAGCAAGTATCTCATCTTCATCCATTTGATTCTTTAACGTGTCATAAAGCACTATTCTCTTTTCTTTAAAAAGACCTATAAAATACGCATTGGAATGAGAAGATCTTTTAGATCCATCCATGACTAGAACTTTAGATGCTTTAAATCCTATCTTTTTACAAAGACTAGTAATTTTCTCTTTTAAAGTTCCTTCTTCAAGTTCAGTAAACTTATTAAATAGTGGCTGTATATAAACAGGATAAATTACTACCATGACAAGCTGTGTGATAGACATAAATACCCACAAATATAACCAAAATGAGTTTAGATAACTTGAAATAAGATTCAGCGCAACATGTAATATAAAAAAAAAGATTATATTAAAAATTAACGTACTTTTTACAAGATCTGTAAAAAACAAAAGAAGAGACATCTTATTGAATCCATGAATGTGTTCAATGCGAAATGTACTGTACAAGCGAAAAGGAATGTCAAAAATAGTATTTAAGTTATAGTTAGCTAGAAAAAAAAATACTTGACTCATGTAAGAATTTCTAAAATAATTATCATACAACAGCTGATTGATTCTGTATTTAACAATAATAACCTCCTTGATTGTTAAAATTATACATTTAAAAATTGAGAAAAAAAATTTATCCTTGTTGTAATCCTGCATTTGCTTGTACTCCTCTTCTGTTGATAAACTTTTAGCGACTTTGGATCTTTCTTTAAATAATGAAATAATATTTCGAAGTGTAAGATAAATTTCTACTAATGCATTAAACAGCATAAATAAGACAATTGCGTGTTCAAACATTTTAGGGGTAAAAATGCAAAATTATTTTTAAAGATACTTTGTTATTTGGGTAAGTTTAAAAATAATGAGCTGCCATGTATGTTTAACCTTTGATATAAATTTACTTATGATTTTCACATGTCGATTGATTTATGTTTACTTTTATTTTGTAGTTAAAGACAACAAAATAAAAATATTTTAAAAGATAATTTATATTTCGAAACACCATTTTACCAAATTACTATAAAATTTTAAAAACCTGCCTAATTAAACTTAAAAATTAATGTTGTAAATATTTAAAGTTTATTAAAATATAAATGTTCATAAGTCACTCTTACTTTTTTTACTCACAAGGTCATTTATCGCTTTAAAAAAGTTTATTTTTCCTGTTCCCGTTTTACTAGAAACAGCTACTGTATTAATTTCACTGTAAAATTCTTCAAAATGTAAAGCCAAAGATCCTAACAAAGGTGTAGAATTATCATTTTCATCTAAATCTTCTCTAAATGCTTCATAGTCTCGTATCCAACTTTCTATTTTATTAGAATCTATAATATCACATTTATTAAATGTACAAAGCACAGGAAGACTGTATCTACACATTAGACTGATACTATAAATCATATTACTCATAAAAACAGAGAAATCTTGTGACACTTCACTATCCACAACATAAATCATTAATACATTACCAATCTTTTTAAAAAAATCACGTAAAACATAACCAGGAGAAGACCAAGTAAAAGATTCTATCTGGCCTGGTGTATCTACAATCACAAAATTACTTTTTACTTTAAAATGTGATTCAATATTTATTAAAAATAAATTCAAAGATGTTGTTATAGCACCATTAGGTCCTAAATTATATTTTTCCATAACATCATAATAATCTATATGCTCTCTGATATCAACATTTAGAGGCATTTTAGTGTTAACGACCGCTGGATCTAGATTTATAGAGTAAATGTAGGAATTAAGACCTGTTTTAGTGTCAATCTTGCAATATTCACTTGATATCCACGAATACAATCTTTGACAAAAAGTAGTCTTACCAGATCCTGCCATACCGACTACAATAAAAATTGTAGGTTTTTCAGAAATATTTAAATTTCCTAAGTGGTCTTGAATGTCAGTTACAGTTGTTAGATCCATAAAATGGGCAAAAAAATACCCTCCAATGAAATCTATACGAAATCCAGTAAAAGAAAAATATAGTTGTTTTATAACAACTGATTATTCTAAAATTGTTTGTATTTTAACATTTACACAAAAATTGGAATCAGAACCTTTTATAAAGGTATCTTTTAAAGACGAGTCAAACATTAGACAACAAAATATTATTCATGACATTATTGACTATCTAATTCTTTGTAGATGCGCAGTCACACAAGTACATATAGAATTTATTGAGTTAGTTAAGGGGCTTGATGCATTTTCTGTTTATCTTAATTTATTTTCTATTGTTGCAAGAATTGCTAAATTAGAAGTAAAAGATTATTTGTGTTCTGCGACAATAACAGAAAACGATTATCAGGTACATTTGGCATATTTACTCAATAAAAAACAAATCATAAATTTATACTCTAATGGACCAGTAGAAAATTTATTAAATACACTAAAATTATGTATAAAAGAGGCGGAAAACAATGCTAGGCTTTTGTTTGATGAATTAAGTTAAGAAAAGTAAAATCTTTTATTTATAAAATAAATATCATAATTTATTTTGTTTTTAAAACTAGTTATTTTTACTTGCTAATATTGATATATTTTTTATTTGCAAACATCAATTTACATCCGAATTAATACTAATATAATTAAAAAGAACTTTTTTAATCACCAAATATTGCAACTTAATTTTTATCTGGCTGATCAAGATTTCAATTATTTCATCAGTTGTTATAAAAAAAAGGTAAATTTAAAAATGCTTTTTTTGTATTAACTTTGTAGACAATGCTTTTAGAATAAAATTGTAAGCTACATAAACATAATGTTTAAAAATTTTAGTATTTGTCATCTCCTAAACAAAGCATTGTAGATAAAATTTTTTATATTTGTTATTATAAATATACAAGCTGAAATTTAAAAAAATTACATTTAGAGTAATTGTGTTTATAAAAATAGTTATTTTTTTACTTTGTTTTTAAATATTTTTTAATTTATATAATTTTTTATTCCAATTAATACACGTATACTTTAACAAATTAAATTATTGCAAAATTTTTTTACAAATGTAAGAATTACTTATGATTTTTATAAATTTTTTTAATTAAGATCTAACTTTATATCTAACTTTTTACATATATCACACAGCTCAGAAAAAAGTGATTCAAAATGCGTAGATTCATCGACGCCTTTTGTAAACAAAATATTCTTATAGTCATCAGTTTTATAAACATTTCTAACTTCAACAAATGATCTGACAATATTGCCAAGTTTAGATACTACAGGCAGAATTTCTTTTTCGGGGTCACTAGTCTCTTTTACTGTGCTAATTATTGCCACTTTATACCCATCTGGCGTAGCTTCTTCATCTTTCCCTAAAATAACAACAAAAATATCGTTTTTTCGTTTGTATTCAGACTTCAAAAATAATATTTGCGATGAAGATGCTTTTTTTGTAATTTCAGATTCGCCTTTTAAAATACATATTCCTCGTATAACCTCGTATGATGCGTTGTGCATTTGTATATAACTTTGATCTGCTATAATTTTATCAGCAGTTATACACAACTCTTTTTTATCTACAGGCTCTATAACTTTAATAGTATTAGACTCTGTATTAATATCTATTATATCAGCTCTAAGCATCACTTCAGCTTTATGTATACAAGCATTACGAATAAATCCTTGAATTATTCCCGATATACCATATTTGGGATAAATATAAGGTGATTTTAGAGTGCTTTCAAACGACATTAACGATTTAACATATTGACATATTTTATCAAATGTTTCTTTAGGATGCTTGTCTAAATATGAATCATCGAGATTTAAAGCTATACCATGTCCAATAAATTCAATTACATCTTTACTTAATCCATATTTAGCAAATTCTTCCCTCATCGTTTTTTTAAACACATAAGAATTTGGATTCCCACCATAAGCTTTGACATCCCAAAAAAATTTCATAACATGATATTTCTCCCAAAATCCAACAAGCCCAGTTTTTAAAGACTGTGCCTCACTGCACGGAACATGGTGAAGTTTATTTTTGTAAATAAATGAGCCAGGAATATTTACAAATTCTAAGGTATCATCAATTTTATATTTTATTAATAATTTAACGACATCTGAATCTGCAAGTAGAAGCTTAGGTGTTATATCAATACAAAAATCTTTATTAAGCGTCATTAAGTCGGGATGTTTAACGTTTGTACCAAAATAATCTTCTAATTGAGAATATTGAAGAGTAGCCAAATCCGCACCGTAGACATCATTCCTATCTAAAACTATTACCTTTTTATTTTCATTTGCTAAGATACTAGCTAAAGTGCTTTCTACAAATCCAGATCCTAGAATTATAAAATCATAATGTGTAGGCTCCATTGTTTGGGATACAAAGAAAAAAAAATATTTACAGTTTTAGATGTAAAAACAAAAGATAATAAACGGTGTAAATAACAGAAAAAAAATGTATCTGGTGTATAAACAGTAAAAGGCAACTATAAAAAAAACACTATTTTATTTTAACATAAATAATTTATAATTCTTCCTCATTAACAACCTTTCCATCATCAGGTCTTGGTCTTATCCAAAATCTTACTGTATTATCCATAGATCCAGAAGCCAATGTATGTCCTACAGGATGAAATTCCATAGACCAAATTGTAAACTCATGTCCATTTGTAACGACTTCCATAGGTGTCTCATTAAACATCTGCCAGTGATAAATTGTACCATCTCCACAACCACTTACAAAATAATCAGGAATTATGGGATGTATAGCAAGTGAAGTAATTTCTTTTTTATGATCTCTGTGTGCAAAAGCCTCTTTCATATTTCGTATATCAAAAATTCTAACAATTTGGTCTTTGCCTCCGCTCAGCAAATAATTTCCGTTAAGAGACCATTTAAGAGCTAATAAAGTACTTTTATGTGAATGTAAGGTATACAGCTCATGGGCTGCTCTTGGGTCCCAAAATTTTATCAAGTTGTCTTTTCCTGCACTAGCTATTAAACTTTTATATTTGTGCCATTGAGCATTTCTAACATCCCAATTATGACCAAATAAAACCGATTCACATCTTGAATCATTACAATCCCATATTTTAATTGTAGAATCATCACTTGCTGTACAAAATTTTGTGTCATTATATGAAAAACTTATATCTCTAATGGGTTCTTCATGTCCTTGAAAGACCTGAATATTATTCATAGAAGGATGCCAATATTTTACACATCCAAGATTATCTGCTGATACAAGAAATGATCCTGAATGCGACCAGCACATTGTTCGCACAGCAGATTCATGTGCCTGAAGAATGGTTTCGAAGTTGTAACCGTATCCGTTCCACAGTGAAAATTCTCCAGTGGCAGTTCCACTCATACATCTTCTTCCGTCGGGTGTCCATCGCACAATATGAACCGGTGATCGTACTTTATTCATGCTAAGATGCTCAAATTTAGTGGTAATGGCATAAGATAGATCATTATAACATTGATCAGGCGATTTAAGGTTAATAATCTGATTAGATAATTGGTAGTTAGGATTAATTATAATTGGGTCTAATGATCTTGTTTTCATTTGAAGAATTAGTGCTGAGCTCCAATCAACTACTTTACGTTCTTGTAAAACTCGCATACGTTTACCATCAAATTTAAATTTTGGATTTTCAAAACGTACATTCACAATGTCTTTAATATTCATAGGGTATGATAATAAAAAAAATATATCAGTAGAAATGTTGTTAAAGTTTTTAATAAGTTAAATAAAAAAGAGTGTATTAGTATTTAATGTATAGATGATTTACATCTTGTTAGAAAATCATACGTTTAACTCTTAAATAAACAAATTTCTAACAATTAAACGAATTTTGTGTGAATTCAGTATAAACAGTAATGCATCTTTATTAACATTATAACCAAATAAAAGAGTCAAGAAAAAATCATTGTTTATTATTTAAATATTTAGATAGCAATATTTTAAGTTTATCTTCTTCCTCAACATATTTATACTTTGGTTTAGATACCTTCGACTCTATCTTTTCATTTATCGCTAGTAGGTCTTTACCAATAAATGTATATGGAATCTTATCTAGTAACATTTTAACTTCTTTATCTTGCTTTTGTCTTTTTGTAATAAAAGGTGAATCTTCTAATGTGTCATATACAGGATCTCCTGCTCCTGGTACAACTATATTACTAATCCCTTTTGTATGACCGATAGTTAAAATATCTTCATAATTTTTAAATACAAGACTAGTAATATTTTTACCAACCTCCCGATGTCTCAAATACATGACATCTTTTTTATTTGCTATATTTAATTTATTAAAAATAGCTACTTTGTCTCCATACGAAGCGGCCAAAACTGAATGTTGGCTCAAAGAGGTAGACGTAAAACAATTGCTAAATTTAACAGTATTAACTGGTTCATAAAGTTTTCTAATGTCCCAAACTTTAATACTTGAATCAATACTTGTAGTATACAAATAAGTGCCTGATCTATCAATTTCCAAGCCACTGATGGCAATTTTATGACACAACATCTTTGACACATAATTTTTACAATTAGGACTCCAAATAGAAACTACACCATTTTTGTGACCCGTATAAATCAGCGCATTGGCTTTATTTTGTTTTAAATTAGTAATATACTTATCTTTAATATGAACTGTACTAACAATTTTTCCATTTGTGGTATCTTGGTACTTTAAAAAACCATCAGAAGATGCCGATACTAATAAAAAATGATAAGGTAGATATTCAAGATGTTTAGCGTTAGAATTATCTCTCACTGCATGCACCTCAACACCCTGTTTATTATAAATAAAAACACAATTCGACTGAGCCAGTGCAATAAAATCCTCATTATGAAGATAAGTAGAATCATACACAGTATCTTCGATATCTGTTTCAAAATGTAGATTCATTTTATGTGTGTCTAACGATGAAAAAAATCCTTTATTATTACGTAAATTAAGATATCTGCCATCACGTGTATATTTACAATAAATGGGCCCTATGTTCATATTCAAGTTAAAACATAAGTCTTTTACTTTCTGGCTGATATTATTTTTTATGTATTCTTGTGATAATTCGTAAGTTTTAGTAAGATTACCAGTATCAATATACCCACTTTCTTCAGTGTTAAGCATTTCATAAAGAATAGCTTCATTAGCAGCAGTTTTTGCAAGTCTTTTCTCCTCTTTAATCTTCTCATTTATAATTTTTTTTGACATTTTACAGAAAAGGGCTATTAAAAACGTTTTATTTTTCGTACACCAATTCAATACAATCATTTTTACTAAATTCGTATGTGTTTAAATCAAGTAAATCGTGTAAATATCTATTTTCTTTTTGTATATTAAAATTTCTCGTTTGCGTTTTAGCTTCTATAAGACGTTTTAATTCTTTAACGGTAATAGAATCATCAACTTGAATATAAAAATTATTAAAACAAAGAACTTTTAAGTTAATAATCATAAGGGTGTAAATTAATCAATTTTATTAAAAAAAGAATGTTGTAGACACTCATCAGCAGTATACCTCTCAATATGATCATATACAAGAATCTTATTCAGTAAATTAACTGCTAGTTTATAATCCTTACTTTTTACAAGAAGAGACTCTTCAAAATCGCATCTCTCTTTTGGCGTGTCTTTTAAACAAACAAGTTCTATGTCATATTTTTTACAATAAATATTAAAGTCATTTTTTCCAAGACTGTTACAAATTCGCATTAATTGATCCGCATTGTTTTCTCCTTTAAAAAGTGGTCTTTTTTTAAACATCATCTCAGCCAAAACACATCCAAATGACCAAATATCAAGTGAATAATTATAATAAGGATAGTTTAGAAGTAATTCTGGACTTTTATAATACCGTGAAGCAACACGTACACTATAGTCTTTGTTAGGATGATAAAATTCTGCAAGTCCCCAATCTATTAACAATAATTTTTTGTTCTTCTGATTTATAATTATGTTATGAGGTTTAATATCCCTATGCATTATTCCTTTGGAGTGTGCGTATTTCAAAGCTTCTAAAATCTGTTTGGCATAAAACCGTATATCGTTGATATCAAAGGTTTCAAAAAGTTTTATTGTATCATCGTGTTTTATATAATTAAAAATCAAAGAGTAAGTTCCAGAATCTTTGTCCATAACAACATCTTGTAGTTTTATTATGTTTTCATGATTTAGATTTTTTAAAATTAAGATTTCTCTGTTAATTTTTGATTCTCTTACAGGTTTTAATAATTTAATGACAACCCTTTCTGTTCCTTTTCTACCTTCAAATACTTCAGAATATTTACCTCGTCCTAATCTAAAAGCTATGCGATAATCTTCTATTTCTCCCGTTTTAATTTTATACTGTTCGTAGTTGTAATACGTTTCTGGGTTTTTTACGTTTACATCCTGAAATTGCCTTGATGTAGATTTTAACATTACTTTTAAGGGTAACAAACATTCAGTAAAGTAAAAAAATTGCAATTTATTTTTAGCCACTAGAGGAATATAAAAAACATAACTTTTTACTTATAGACAACAAAATTTATAAAAAAAAATTGAAGAAATTTTCTTTTTTTAGTAAAATTTTTTATTATTTTATCATCACATTTTCTTGATATTTTTGCTTTTTAAAAATTCGGTAATTTTTATTCCATAATATGAAAATTAAAGATAAAAGAAATAGAAATAAAATGAAAAACGAACATAAATTAGTAAACAAACAAAAAGAACTATCAATTTACAACTCTGAACACGGTCCTTACAAAATAATATCTTTTATTAATTTAGGTGGTGATATGTCTAAAATCAAAGAGGAATATTTAAACAACAAATTAACAAATTTATATTTTTATAAAAAAAAAATGCATAATTTCTTATTTATTGATACTGGGCATTTTACTGACATAGAAACTGCTTATATAATAAGATGTAGTGATTTGGTCGTTTTTGTTGTTAATTCTATTATTATCAATGAAAAAGTATTACAACTTGTAAAAAGACATCTTCCCAGTTGTATTTTTACAGTATTAGATAAAAAATATATTAAATCATGTAAGAAGTTTGTAAACAAATTTTTACCAGATCAGAAAGTTGTAGAAGTGTCTTTATTATTTAATTATTTGTGTGCTCGAAGTTTTTCTACTAAAATATCCGCAAGACCTTTTATGATTCCTTTATCAATAGATGTTAGATCAGATAATATTTATGTCATTAAAGGATTTATGAAGAAAGGACTACTTACTGATAAAGTTATTATTAATGGAAAGTATGAAGGAACAGTGGTTAATATTAAAAGTGATAAAATTTATAGTGGATCTGAACTAGGAATGACTGATGATGAAAAATCACATTTTAAAACAGTAACTAATATTGATGATACAGAAATGGAAGTAATAGATGAAGAACAAATTTTAGAAAATGATGAAAGTACTTCATCTGACGAATATTATAGTGAAGATGAAGAAGAAAATAAATATCCATCACTTATTGATAAATATAAAGAATATAAAGGAATAAAAAATATTGCTACATGCGAGCTTCCTACAGACAAATATCCAGATTATTATCAAAATTTAATATTTTTTCAAGATTTCAAACACGTAAATAAAATTATAGTCAATAGAAAAAGCATTATTGCTGATAATCAAATGGTAGAAATAACACTTAAACTTACAGATAGCATACATGACAATATCTTTGTTATGTTTGGATACTATGAATTTGAAGATTTTAAAACTATACATAATTACTCTTTTCAAGGTAAATGTAAAACTGGTGAAAAATTGCTGGTAGATTTAGGGTATAAAATTATAGAAGTGACACCTACTTTGACAAAATTAAATAACAATAATTTACATAAAAGAGAGGAATCTTTAGATACTGGTGTTATAAGCTTTATAGCACCATTGTCATTTGATTTACATAAAATTTTAATATTTGAAAGTAATTTGCTAAAAGAAACTTCTATAAGGACCTTTAAAATGGTAGGAATGAATCTTGGAATAAAAGATAGAAAACTTTATGACGAAATTGTATTGCAAGGGTTGCCTATTAAAATTCACAAGAGATCTTGTACTGTTAAAAGAATGTTTTACAGTAAAGAAGAAGTTCTTTATTTCAAAGAAATTGGATTATACACTAAAAATGGTAGATCACATGGATTTATAAAAAAGCCTTTAGGTGTGCACGGGGCCTTTAAAGCCTATTTTTCACATCCTATTGCATCAAATGATAAGATTTACATGTCTTTATACAAAAGAGCATTTTTAAATGATTATTAAATCTATTCCTTAGTACAATACATTATTTTAATAATGTCTTCTATGTTTTTTTTAGAAAGACAAAATTTCACATCACGCAATTCTTTTCTTAGTTCTTCTTTATTTTTTGTTTTATAAAAATTATTGAGTGTTTTAAAATGTTCTGAAAGTTTTATTGCTTTTTCGGCATTAATTCCAAATATTGATAGAAAGCAATATAACAATATTTGGTTAACATCAGTATTTTTACTTTTAGTACCTTTTTCTATAAAACTTCCATAACTCATTTTAATTTTACTTTCGTCTAAGTCCATAATGTTTTTATGTATTTGCTCTATAACACTAGCTGTTTCTTTTATATCAGAAGTTTCTATAACTGTAATTCCTTCTAATTTTGTTGATGTAATACACGAAAATCCATAATCTATTGAAATATTTTTAAAATCTTTTGATTGCAAATTCTCAATAATATAAAATATATTTGATATCCCCGTATCCTTAAGTCTATTTTTTTGTTCTTTAAATCTTCCATCTGATAGACTACTTACGAAATCTGATCCACATTTTCGTTCTACTATGAAATCACATATCATTTCGTTTTTTATCCATGCAAAATCTCCGACCTCTAAAAGTCTTGTGTCATATTTTATGTCTTTGCTGTCAAAATAATTCTGAAAAAAAGATCTGCATGTTCGACTTTTTATTTCTCTTGAGTCAATTACTAATACTAAATCTTCCTCTTCATTATTAATAAGTGATGTGTCTTTAAATATTTGATTTGCTAAATCTTTTCCTTTTTGAGTTAAAAAATATTTTTTTGATCCAGATTCTTTGTAAACAAGTTCTTTGTCTATCAAGGTTTTCATACCCGACCATGCTGAATTTCGAGATGTTAGATCAAAATCAGCGTTAGAATAATTTTTAGCAATAAAAATTATTTTATGTTTTGTAGTACCATCTTCTATCCACAAAGCCTTTAAAATAGCATATGGACCTGTTCTATACCCTGGAATGTATTCTTTGCGGACTTGCGTATTTTTTCTCTTTAAAATTGGAGAATATACAGCCTCTGTTGAATTAATATCTTTAGTGTTTATATTGATCATACTTATATCAGAATCTGAAATATCTGAAATAAAAGCATTTACACTGGTATTATATTCTGTTAATTTATCTTTAATTCTATTATAATCATTTATATCCAATAATAATTGATATTTTTCTAAATCATTTAAATTATCAATACGATTCTTTAATTCTTCATTTATGTGTTTGAGAAGAAGATCTACAGTTTTTTGTCCTACATTTGGTATATTTTTTATTTGTGTCTTTGTTGTAATTGATACTTTATAATTAGTAAATTCTGTTAAAATTTTTCTGTACAAAGATTTACTCTTAAGGTTAGATTTTATGGCAGAATCCAAAAGTTTTCTAATTTTTTGTATAATTATTTCATTTACTAACATTTTCAGGGCTTTAAATTTCTCTAAAAAATTTCATTAAAAAATATTGATGTTAACTGTTTATGCATTAATATCAATATATAAAAAAAGTTTGAATCTGAATATTTATTTTGTGTAAAGAAATGAAAGAAACAAATTTTTAAATCATAGTACATATACATTTATCGTATATTACACTTTTTTAGATAAACAATGTGTATTTCATATGTTTTAAAAGTCATAAAAAAGTAATAAAAACTTACTGCATTTAATAAAATATTTTAAAAAAACGATTTAAAACATCAAAATTTTATTAATAACTTCTACCAAATAAAGTGTATCTCTTGCAAGCACTTTTACAAATAATACAAGTTTCGTGTTCAATTTTTCTAGACTCAAAAGGAATACACAACGATTTAGCACCTGCAATCAAAATTTTTTCATCTTCAAATTTAGTACTCATAGTTTTTATCTTTTCTTCACACTGCGAAGATTCACACCAAGGTGTCATTAAAATACAATTTTCATCTAATTTTTTTACGAAATCAAAAATGTTATTAATATATAAAATTTTACTTTCTTGTTCTTTAAGTGCTGTATTGTACATTTCTTCATGTATATCATTAATAAGTAACTGTATTTTTTCAGTAACATTATCATCAATTGTATACTGATTCTTAGTACCTGTATTTCGTTTATAAATGCACATCTCATTTTTTTCTAAATCTTTAAGCCCTATTTCAATTCTTATTGGAACACCTCTTATCTCCCAGTGATTAAATTTATATCCAACAGTAACATTGTCTCGATCATCTATATGTACACGTATTTTAGAGAATAATAACTGATTCTTTATTCTGTTTATTACTTTTAATAATTTATTTTTATCTTCAGTACTAGTTTTAACACTTAAACCACATGGTATAATAACTACCTGTATTTTTGCAACTTTAGGTGGTAAAACCAATCCTTTATCATCAGAATGTATCATTACTGCAATTCCTAACGATCTGGTAGTCATTCCCCATGAATTTTGATAAACAAAATCTGATACACCATCATCTACTTGTACTTTAACATCAAACATTTTACTAAAATTCTGTCCAAGATGGTGCGATGTAGCAGCTTGTATTCCTTTACCCGCTTGTGGAATAAACCCTTCAACAGTTGTACTGTAATCAGAACCTGCAAATTTCTCTGTTTCTGTTTTAAGTCCTTTTATAACAGGCACAGCTAATAATTCTTTGTACATTCTGTAGTACAAATCTAATATATCTAAAACTTCTTTGTCTGCTTCTTCTTTATCGATATGAGCTGTGTGTCCTTCTTGCCAGAGAATTTCTTTACTTCTAATTAAAGGCGTTGTACCTCGCAACTCCCACCGTAAAATATTGCACCACTGATTGACCTTAAGAGGAAGATCTCGATGACTGCTAATCCATCGGGCAAAAGATGGATACATAACTGTTTCAGACGTGGGTCTTATTGCGACAGGTTCATGCAGAACTTCATTTCCACATTTTGTTATCCAAGCAACCTCTGGAGAAAAGTCACTAATATGTGATTCTTCTTTTTCCAAAAATGTTTTAGGTATCAACATAGGAAATAAGCATTCCTCTACACCCAACTTTTCTATTTCATTTGTAAACCACTTTCTTATTTCATTCCAGATAAAATAGCCGTTAGGTCTTAGAATGTAACACCCTTTGACATCATAGTAATCAAGAAATTCTCCTTTAACAAGTACTTGTGTGTACCAACTAGAAAAATTTTCAGCTTTATTAACTGTTAAGCCGAATTTTTGTTTGGCCATTAAGGGATTCTAAAAAAAAAAATTAGATTACCAACCTAAAAGATAAACCTTAACTCTGTACGAAAATAGTAAAGAAAGCTGCTTTATAAAAAAAATGAGATTTATATAATTTATTTATTGTTAAATACATCTAAAAAAGAAATAATTAGATGTTGTTATAAAATATTTTTTCTTTTGTTTAGTGATCTTTTTACAGCATTATAATTACTCTATACTTTTTTTTATTTATTTGCGTGTAAGGGTTCTTCCTTTATTTTTCTCCATTTCAGTATCAAACTAGTTTATTTTGTATGTTGATTTTCGTTCCTCTCGCCTTAAGCAATCATGTCACTTCCTCTTAATTGCTTCAGCAAAAGAATATAAAAGTTTTTTTAATAGTCGCTGATTGGAAATGCTTCAATTTGACTAATATTTCTTGTTCCCTTCTGTATTTTGCGTAATATTTTGTTACTATACTATCTTATGTTAAAACATAAAATTATTTGTGTTTAACCTTAAAACTTTAGCTAACAATCATATTTCGTAGTTTTTCGAGCTCCACTTGTTGGAGATTGTCAAGTAATGTGACACATTTTTTCAACTATAAGTATTTCCTTTAATTTCTTCTCTCCTATTAAGATGCCACACTTATTATTATCAATTTTAATGTAGGTTTTTATTGTAATATCGACTCCTATTTCTACATAATCGCCTGATACTATCTGATGAACAGAATAGGTTTTTAATTTTTTCGCTGTATGCTCGATTTTGTATTTCTTTCATAAAGGCAAACAGCCTTTTAAAAATGTATATTAAATTTAATATGTTTTATAATCACTAAGTAAATTACGAGCTTCTAAGTTCAGAAATGTATTAAAAATCTGCTTTTTAATACGTAGTAAAAAAAAGATACAATTAAACTTATCAAATGACACAAAGAGGACAATAATCTAAAAAGCAATAATTTTATCTTATGTTTGCAAAGCATTTAAATGCATTGCGCCAGCTAAATCAGAAAAAGCAATGCAAGATAAAAAAAATATTAAAATTTATTAAATAGACTAATGTCACTATATAAAAACGATAGTTAAATACATAATGACATAAAATCGTTTGTAACGTTTAAATCTTTCATATATCAACCGCTGCGCTTGTAATATCTTCTTTTTAAAAAAGTAAAACAACTTTAAATCTACAAAATAATGTTTTTTAGCACAAGCAAGCAATATTAAGGTCTTGTTTTTTACATTCTATTTGACTTTTAATATCAAATATTTACGTCCTTTACAACAAGTTATTTTTTATCACCTTGCAACTTTTTTAAATTCAAAAATAATTAGTAATTTGATATAGTTAATGTAAATTAAAAAAAAGTGTTTTTTACTTTATCAATCAACTAAACCTCCAATGTAATTAAAATAAACTTTAATCAAATTACAAAAATTGATAGCATGTGAAACAGAAAGTTTATCACTTTATAATCAATATTAAGCATAAAAAATTTTCATAAATTTTTCTTTTTTATCACTGGACACATATCCATCTATATACATATAACCTATAGTTGTTGATCATTTTATTTGTTTAAAAACTCTACAGTTGTACTATTATTCTAATTATTTTTTTACGTAAACGTAATTTTATTTTTTCAATATTCTTTCATATTATTGTAAATTTTACACAAAAGTTATTTTTGGAAGGAGAAAAAAATGTGAGTAAATTTCAAAACAAATGAAATATTTAAAATTGTATAAAATTTATTAAAAATATTTTTTCAATATATCTCTGTGATTAATTTATTATTATAACACTTTACATTTAAATATATATTTATTATAATGTGATTACCCCATATATGTCTAATATAAATAAAATTGATCCAAGACATGACATTCAAATCTATAAAGAGGACACTGTAGTAAATATGAAGTTTAGAAAACTTACACCTATTGAAGAAAAAAAGATGGAGAGACGAACTGAAGAAAACAAAATTATTTTTGGAAATCACAAAGTGCTAAATGAAAAATCGTTTATATCTATGACCAACATTGACGTAGAAACGTTGAGTCGTCCTTTTGGGATGATAACTAAGCTAATGGACTATCAATTATATGGCATATCGTGGATGAAAAGTAGAGAAAATAGTTTTATTAAAGGAGGTATATTGGCAGACCAAATGGGGATGGGAAAAACAATACAAACAATAGGTTTATTATTATTAGGAATGAATACAGATATCAATCTTATTATTGTACCAGCCATTGCAGTAAATCAATGGATAGAAGAATTTGAAAAACATGCACCCGGTATGTTTAATGTTTATAAAAATCATGGCCGTGAAAAGCTTACTGTTGAAAAATTTGAACGTAATTTAAATTCGAAAATTGACGTTATTCTTACAACTTATGGAACTGTCGAAAGCGATTATAGACGAAAATCTGGGTTTTTATATTCTATAGATTTTACAAGAATAGTTTTAGACGAAGCGCATTCTATAAAAGATTCTAGAAGTAATACTAGTACTGCTATTTCACATCTCAAAGCAAACTTCCGATGGGGTCTTACTGGTACCCCTGTACAAAACAAGGTTGGTGATTTGTTTTCATTAGTTAAGTTTTTAAAGTTAGATCCTTATTCATATTATTTTTGCAAAAAATGTTCATGTAATTCTATGTATTGGCTTAGATACAACGAAAAAGACAAATTTGCATCGAGAGGATTTTGTGTATGTGGACACTTTTCGGCTCAACATTTTGGGTGGTGGAATCGTAATATAGCAACGCCAATTAAAGAATTGGGATTTACCGAAGAAGGAAAAGCTATTTTTGATAAATTACATATTTTTACGCAACATATTATTTTAAGGCGTACTAAATTAGGCATTGAAGCAGAGTTGGGGCTGCCGAGTAAAGTCGTTTTTATTGAAAGATTATTTTTTAACGAAAAAGAATTGGATTTTTACACTAGTTTATATTCGAATACGAAAAGCAAATTTGACGAATATAATCTTAGAGGAGAGGTAGTTAAAAACTATGCTCATATTTTTGATTTATTACTTAAAATGAGACTAGCTGCTAATCATCCTTATTTAGTGTATAAAAACAATCAGAATGTCTTAAGTGATTTACCTATCTGCGGGTTTTGTAATGAAGAATGCGATGATCCTATTATTTCTAAATGTAAACATATTTTTTGTCGCGAAGAAGCTAGAATGTTTTTGCTCGAAACTTCAGAATGTCCTGTATGTAAAGTTAAAATAACAATTGATCTAAATCAAGTATATGAATATAATATTAAGACACAATTAGATCCGACAAATTGGACAAGTTCTACAAAAATTGAGTTTTTAGTTCAAAAACTAACTGAGCTAAATACTAATAAAAATAATTTAGAAAAGAGTATTGTATTCTCACAATATGTTAATTTTTTAGAAATTTTACGCTGGAGGTTAGAACGTGCTGGATTTCGATGTGTTGTCATTTATGGAAATATGCCTATTAATCAGAGAAAGGCAGCAATTGAAAAATTTAATACTGATCACAATATTACCGTATTTTTAATATCTCTAAAAGCTGGAGGGGTTGCATTAAATTTAACTGAAGCCAATAATGTATTTCTTATGGATTTATGGTGGAATCCTGCAGTCGAAGAGCAAGCTATGGATCGAATTCACCGTATTGGACAACATAGACCAATTAAGATTCATAGAGTTATTATTGAAAATTCTATAGAATCAAAAATATTAGAATTACAAAAAAAGAAAAAGGCACTTTTTGAATCGTCTGTAGAGCGTAATTATGCTGCAGTTGAGAAAATAAGCGAGGAAGATTTACATTTTCTTTTTAATTGATTTATACTTTCTAGGCAATAAATTAAATAAGTATTACAAATAATTTATTTATTCTACTACTTCGTCCGATACATAGTATACCATGATGTTACCGGCTTCTGAAGTAAGATGCAGTTTATATGTTCCTTTTTCATATTTAGGGATATCCATTACCATGTCTGATGGTGCCTTAATACTAAAAATTAATTTATCTTTTAAACTTGGTATAGATTGTAAATCGTTAAAAGTTACATAAGCATTTTCAAGATTACTTTGTTTTTGCGACATTTCTTCAATTTTACTATTTAGTTCAGCTATTTGTAAATCAAGATTTTTCTCTTCCTGTGTTATAAATTTTCCACTGCTAGACACAACATTTTCTTTATTTTCACTTTCACTGCCTATATGATCGTCAATATTTCCTCCTATCCATCTTGCACTGCTTACAGACCATTTACTAAGTAAGCCTAGTCCTTCCAAAACATTTGTTATATCGTACACTCTTCTTTTATGAACACATAGTTCAGTAGCCGCCATATTTAAATTAATAATTTTATCTTTTGATGCTCTAATTAGCTGCATAAATTTCTTAGTCAGGCAAAGTAAACTATTTTCAGATCGAGCCGATGATAACTTATCAGAATGTAGATTTTTAGACATTAGAGGGATAATTTTTTATCCTTATTTTATGTCAAAGAATATTGAGTTTTCAATATATTCGTATACGAAGAACATAAGAAAATTAGTTGATAATTACAGTTTCACTGCATTTGATTTTACAGAAAAAGTTTTTAGAAATGAAAACAGATTTGTAATTTTAAGAGAATACGAAGATAAATTCTGCATTATAGAAGAGACTTATATAGAAAAATATAAAACTAGAAAATATTTGTGTAAAAGTGTAAAATCATCTTATGTTGATAAAAAAAAACACTTTGTAAATGATTTTACTTATTTTGTCGATAAATTTCAATATACACTTGCCAGTGACAATGTTTATAAATTCTGGTGTTATAAGTCTAAAGATGTTTGTATAGAAATATATAAACAAAAGGAAGAAGACATTTATTTAATAAAAGCATCTTCGTTTAATGAAAAATATTTAGATAATGAGCTTGTATTTTTAGAGTTGTGGTATGAATTTAAAAAACCAATAATTGAAATTTAGTAAGTTATTGTTATTTTTTATATGTTCAAAATAAAGATACATAGCTACATTGAAGATTTGTAGTAGATTTAAATAGTTCTTTTTGCCTAATAAAATTTTCACTCGATTTACTTAAAAATCTTAATATTTATGTTTAAATATTTCAATAATAATTTTAGTTTCATTAGTTTTAAATTTTAAAAACTAGAATTTTATAAAAATGTCTATTTAATGATTTTTACATTTACAATCGATTAATCTCCATTTAACAAAAATATATAATTTGCACTAAACCAATTTAAAATATTGAAAGAATAAATAATGAAATATTTGACATGTTCTTAAAAAAATCTTATCATTTATTGCTTTTAAAATTTTGCAGAAGTGTATTAATTTTCTTTGCCAAAAAATTTTTATTTAAATAAAAGTTTACAAATTATAAAATAGTTTTGTAAACAATAAAAAACTAAAAATAAAAAAAAATTATAATAAAATGTTAGTAATATTTGAATACATTACTATTTTTGTATGTTAGATTTGAACACATAAATCTATAAAAATTTATGCAACGCATCTAACAAAACAGGGGTTAATGTCTACAGAAAGTATAAAGAAATTAGTACAATACGAAAATGAAGCAAAAGAAATGTTAGAGGATGCTTACAGGAAATACGAAAGCATAATAAAACAAGCCAAAGAAGATGCACAGGATTTAATAGATATAGAGATAAAAAAAAATACTAAACTACTCGAAGAGCTAAAAAATAAAGTGGATGAATACATAAAATTAGTAGAAAAACATAAGAAGGAAGAATACGATGAAAAAATAAAGAAATTAGAAGTAAAAGAGAAAGATAAAATTATGAAAGAACTTTTAAAAAAAGTGTGTAAGAAATAAATTTAATTATGTTTTGTTTGTACTAAAAGTTATTTAATAACTCTAAAAGATTCCTCTAATTCATTAAAATATACTTTTAAAATCTCTTCATTATTGTATCCAAGTGTACCAACACTATTTACATTTATTTCTAGTTTATCTCCAAGATTATTTGGAAATTTACTATAAAATTTTCCATTTTCTGTCATTAAATATTTTATATTTACATTTAAAAGATGATTAATAAAATCAAATAATTCAATAGCCATAGAATCTTTTTTAATGTTAAGAACAATCCATTTTTTACTGCACACATGACAATCTCTATTTTTATCCCCCGGATCTAATCCTATAAATAATTTCTTGTTGTGTGTTAAAAAATAGTGCGTGTTATTCCGTTCACTCAAAATCATTAAAGAAGCTACTATGGCATTTGTACTGCATAAAGAAGGAATAATATTGTTAGCTATACTTTGAAAATCAAAAAAAGATATTAGTTCAATATTTGCAGATTTGGATCTAATACATGACAATTTATATAACAATTTACATTCGTATATATTATCTTTATTATAAGACAATACATTAAGATTCTTTCTTTTTAGTTTGAGTAAATACTTTTTAATTTTAATTATATCTTTTTTGTAAGGAGTTATATTATTTTCATTATTAACTGTAAGTTTTAGAATAAAATCTGAATAAAGTGACATATTGTCCGTTTTAATTAGACTATTGAAATTATACTCACCATTAAAAAACGTTTCTTTTACAAATTCAATACAATGTTCAAATTTAGTTGGTAATGTTCTGATCGTACAAACATTATAACTTTTTTGTATTGGTTTTGGAAGACAATCAAAACATTCTTTTGTATAATCAAAAATACAAGATTGTCCTTTAAATCCCCCAGATCCTCCATCCACAAGTTTTACACTCCCAAGGTAACATCTTGTATTTACATAAGTTCGTGCTTCGTTGTTATCTAAGCAGTTATAAACGACATCAAATTGTTTAAAAAATCCTAAATCATAATTATAAATGGAATCGGTATATGAAGTAATCTTCCAATTAGTACTTTCTCTTATTTTATTACCTACTATTTCAGATTTATACTTTCCTATATCATTATTTGTAAATAAAAATTGTCTATTAAGATTCGTTAATTCAATAGTATCAAAATCTATTAAAGAAATTTGAGATTCTGGTAATAAATACAATAATTTTACCAATTCGCTTCCAATCCCACCAGTACCGACTACAAGAATATTTTTAATATTTGGCATATAAAAATTTAGGGAAAAAAAATAGCATGAAATTAATCAATAAAGCGAAAATTTGATAAACTTATAAATTATCAATTTTTGCAAAAATATTTAATATTCTATTGTAGAGAGTTTTAATAATTTATTAATTAGTCACTACTGTGCTTCAGAGAAAATATCTATACCTACCCTTAAAATGGAGCATTCACAAGAATTTGAGATAGAAAATACGCACAAACCAAAAATTTTTATTACTACAACAGGAATTTCAGAAGAAGAAAAAAATTTAATAAAAAAATTACTGCCGCAAAATATAATTTTAGAGGACGAATTAACGACATTAACTACTTATTTGATAAGTTATAAATCTTTTATTAGTGATAAGTTTATACAAGCAATGATATGGAATATAAAGTTAATTAAAATAGACTGGTTATATAATATAGATACCAATCCTAATATATACATATTAAGACCATTAGAAGGAATAGAATTTACATCAAATGAAATAACAAATGACATATTTATAAATTATTACATATTGATGGGTGCAATATACAACGAAAATCTTACAATTTCTACTGGCTTTCTTATTTCTAATATAAAAGAAGGAGAAAAAATAGATTTTTGTACTAAACATTCTATACCAGTTATAAATACAGAAAATATTTTTAAAAACAATTATAAACTATTACAACGACCATTTACAATTCGAGCTTTTAAGATCGATTGTGAAAAAGTTTTTAATGATAAGTGTTTTTATATTGATCCAAATTTTCATAAAAATCTATTTAACTTGTTAAAAAGATTAATTATAGAACATGGAGGAAGTAGAGTATCTTTAATAGATAAAAATGTTGATTACATTTTGACTTCTAGTTCTAAAGAATATGAAAACACAAAACATAAACTTTTACATTATCAATATATTTTTGACTGTGTTGAATACAAAGCAGAACTTTTTCCTAATTCTTATTTTGTACACAAAGAAAGGAAATTTAATGTATTAAAAAATGCAATATGTTGTATTTCAAAATGTTTGAAAAAAGATAGTCAACTAATTGTAAATAAACTTAAGGCCTTGGGAAGTTTAATACGAGACAGTGATAGCTTAGCCTGTACACACCTCATTATAAAAGATAAAAATGAATTTAAACTTAGTTCTCTTAAACCTTATAAAATTGTAACTGTTGATTGGATAGACCAATGCTTGTACACACTTAAACACGTTAGAGAAGAAAAATATTTAGTAAAAGAGTCAAATTTAAGCCTGTTTTCACAACCAAATAATAAAATATCGACAAAGCGTGTCAGAACATCAGTTATAAAAGATATAATATTTCAATTTACCGGATTACCTTCATTTTTAAAAAATAGAGCTATAGAAATGCTAAAAAAATATGATATAAAATATATTGTTAGTGATAAATATGAAAATTGCACACATCTAATAATGGGAAATCTTAGTACATCAGAAAAGTTTTTATCTGCTCTTTGTAACGGTGCCTGGATACTCACTCCGGAAATTATTGATGTTTTTGATAACTCATTGCATTTTAATTACGAAAAATATGAATGGAAAGTTGATGAAAATACAAATGAAAAAGATATAAAAATAATTAACTCAATAAAAAAATGGCGCGAGCGTGTTTTAAAAACAGGATATCCTGCTTTTTACAAATGGAGAGTAAAACTTTACGCACCTGAATCCAAAATAAAAAATTTTTCACGGGTGATTGAGAATGGAGGAGGTACAATTGTTAAAAATGATAATTTTACACATTGTTTTGTAGCAAAAAATTATGAAAAAAATATAAAAGAGAAAAAGTTTTACAGCACTGATTATATTTTTTCATATTTGTTTAGAGAATAAAAAGTTTCACAGAGATAAAAAAATTTAAATCTTTTTAATTAGAAAATCTATACTTATTATATATTTTTATAATTTATTTTAATTGTTAAAGTTATAATATACTAGATGAAGCTTGTAAAACCTTTTTTAGTAATTAACTATTTTGGAAAAATAATTTGACAAAAAATTATTTACAATTTCAATATAAAAAAGTATAATTAAAAAAACATAAGCGTATAAAATAAACTTAATTATTATTTACTAAACAAATCATATAGTATTTTTTGTTGTCTGCAGACATTTGAAACATTTTGTATTTTTGTGTACAAAATATAAATATTATGAAAATGTTAACACCTTGCTTTATATTTTTAATTACTTTTATTGTAAGGACATATAAAATAGAAAAAGGTAATTTTGTAGTGTGGGATGAAGCGCATTTTGGTAAATTTGCATCTAAATACCTTACAAGAACGTTTTACTTTGATGTCCACCCACCTTTAGGAAAAATGTTAACAGCCCTTGGTGGATATATTTTTAATCAACCTACAGATTTTTCTTTTGCCTCGGCCTCAGAATATCCAAAAAATTTCGATTTTGCAGGAATGAGAAGATTTCACGCATTGATATCTTCACTAACACCAGTATTTAGTTATCTTATTTTAAAAGAACTTAGGTACAATTTTACACAAAGATTTTTACTGTGTATGATGTTTATATTTGAAAATGGATTTACATCAATAGGTAGATTAATACTACTAGATTCACATCTTCTTACAGCAACATCAGCTGTTATTTATTGTCTTACTCGGGTCTTTAAAAGGAATTTCCAGAATACAGATTTATTTTTTCTTGGTATTTGTTTAGGATTAGTATTAAGTATAAAATGGATTGGATGTTTTACAACAGCGCTAGTAGGTATTTTTATAATTTATACTTTATGGAGACTAATTAACTCCAAAATGCCAATCAGCCACGTTTTTCTAATATTTGTAAAATTTTCTTTATTTTTAATTATACTTCCGATTTCTATATACATCGGAATTTATTATATACACTTTTCTATAGTCAATAAAACAAGTACAGATGAAGGACATATGAGCTCTTTTTTTCAAGCATCTCTAGAAGGTAATTCTCATAAAAAAAACAGAAAATATATTGCTTACGCTACTAGAATAACATTAAAAAATGCGTGTCTAAGTGGGGGATATTTACATTCTCATCCTCATATGTATCCTGGCAAATCAATGAATCAAGTAACAACTTATTCACACAAAGATAATAATAACAATTGGGCCTTTCAAAAAGTATCAGAATCAAATACTGAACCTTTATTTGTCACAGATGAAGACAAGGTAGTGATTTACCATTTAGAGACAGCAAGGTATATTAATGTCAGTAAAACACAATCTTATTTATCACAAGGACTTTTGACCGGTGCGACAACTATTCCTTTAACGAACGATAACGTTTTTATAATCGAAACTTATAGCGACACACACGCCAAAGAAAAAAGAATTAAAAGTCTAACTACAAAATTTAGACTTAAGCACTTTACAACAGGATTGTATCTTAAAAGCACAAATAAAAAGTATCCTGACTGGGGATTTTCTCAAGGGGAGGTAGTGTGTACAGAAGACATGGATGAAGGAACACTTTGGACTATAGAAGAAAATATATCTGATAAGGTAACAACTGATATAAATCCATTGTATGAAGAGATTTACAACAAATTATTTTTTAAAAACTTTATTGAACACAATATTTTACAATACAACGTAAATAAATCATTTGTTCAGGATGAAAATTTAGAGCCAGATGCGATTGTTTCTAAACCTTATGAATGGCCAATACTTAGAAGGGGATTAAGAATGTGCAGTTGGGATGAAAAATCAATGAAATTTTACATGTTTGGAAATCCTTTACTTTGGTTTTCATCAACCTTAAGTTTATTCGTAGCACCTATTATTTTTATAACAAAATATATTAATTTTAAAAGAGGAGCAAAAAAATTTAGGAATAGACACAATGAGGCTTACGAGGTATTTATATGTGTAGGTGGATGGTTATTACATTATTTGCCTTTTTTTGCAGTAGGGCGGGTTCTCTACTTTCATCATTATTATCCCGCACTTTTCTTTGCAATAATGTCTTTATGTTATGTGCTGCGCCATTTAAGTATTAATTTTGTAAGGGTTTATATATTTTATATTATAGGATTTTACGCTATCTTTTCACCATTGACCTATGGATTCATAGATTCAAGAAGTCTAAAATTTCTCAAGTTTATCCCCTCATGGAATTTTATAGATTAAATAAAAAAGGTTATTTTACGAAGCTATTTTTTTTTATTTATTAATGTGATCGTAAATTAATAACATAAATTCATGTTAAACGATAAAATAACTTAATACACGTATGAAATTATTAAATAATTAATAGATTTTAAAATATAATTAACAGAATTTTTTATTAAAAAAATAATTATTGCAATTTAAAATGCAATCATATAACAATTCGCCTTTTAATATTAACTTAAAATGTAAATAGACAATATCTTTCAGATATCTTGTGCAGTTTCTATTATTATATCATTATCCTTCTGTATTAGCTCTAAATTTTTTTCATTTGCTACATGTAATAATGAAACTATACAGAAATGTATGCTAATGTCTTTCTTCTCTTTTGTGTCATACATATTTGGGACATTTTTACAAATTTCAGATAATTTAGAAGATTTACTTTTTGTTAAATTAGAAATAATATTATTTTTTAACTTTTTTATATCAACTTTTTTCTGTTCCCGTCTAAAAAAATATTGATCTTTAACTTCTTCTACAGGCATTTCTGTTACAATTTCATCAATGGGCTCTTCAATAATAACATTCGGTTCATCAGGAAGAATCAAGTCATCAACAGGATAATTTTCCAAATTATTAACATTGTAACTCCCTTCCAGAAGATTGTAGCAATACAAATCTTCTCTCTCAAAATGAAAATCTTCTGGAAGATTATAATTTACCTTCTTTCTGCTATCTAAAGCACTACGATCAAAAAGGGTTTCTCCTTGTAATAATATTAAATCTGTATCAATAGGCTCTACAAAATTTAATAAAAATTTTTCTTTTTGTTTAACGCTATTTGATATTTTATCAATTTTTTTAGTTCGTAATTTCCAGTGCGTGGGACCTGCCCACCCTTTAAAATACGAAAAATGCGATTCTTTAAAAATAGGAGGATTTGTAACAACCTCTTCAATTTCTTCATTACTGTCAAAATTACTTACATCCATTTCGTAATTAACATCATTAACTGGTTCTAAATTATCTTCTATTAGATTTTCTACTTCACCAATTTTTAAAAATGTCGGACAGATGTGCTTGTCTTCTAAAAATAATTTATCGATTTGTAAATCACACATTTTGATTTCTCTATTTTGATCACCAGAATACAATCTATATACACCATCTTTACTTATTTCGAGTGTACTGAGTAATAAAGAACTTTCTGTTGTTTTGCTTTGACACAAAAATACAGGATCTCTAAACGGCGTGCTAAAATTACTTTTTATATTTATATTTGATAAATTAGTCTCAATGGTTTTATTACCTTTCTTTTTTGCTATTTTTTTCTTTGTATCTTCCAAATTGAATCCTTCAAGAAGTTTCATAGCTTCTTCTGAAACATCATCTACCCTTGTTGAATAAACCTTAACACACCCATCGAGTGTACAGCTAGCTTTTTGAAAGTTGACACCTTGTAAATCCTTAAATTGTTTTAAATCTTTAAAATGATCTATTAAAGTAGATTTCCATGCATTTTTAACTGTAACTTTATTTTCTGCTACTACCTTAAGCCACGAGTTCAAATCATCATTTAACATGAAAAGGGTATAGAAACTAAAACTACAAAAATAACCAATAAAATGTTATAAATGCATTTACAGTACAAAAGAAACTTATTTGTTGATTAGGGAAATTTAGGAAATATATAATCAATTTAAAGATAAATTGGTTTTAATACATAGATGTAAGATCAAAAGAATATCATATGGGATATTATAGTAAGTAAACATCACTCTAGATACAGAAAGGGACTTAAAGTCTCCGAGTCGAAGCGTACATTCGATCTATAACACTTAAAAAGACTCTTATGAGCATCTTAATGTAGTAGTGAAGTGGTGACAGGTTAACAAAAGTCAAAGAGGCAATTCAGAAATCTACTGTTTGCTCAGAGCAGGTAATAACACAAACAGATAAAATGATTTTTAAAAAAACATTTTTTTATAATACTTCTTAGCTGAAATTTTCCCTCCTTTTTTATGAAAATATTTTTTAATTAAAAAAGCATGAATTTCGATGAATTTTCACAATTTCTGTCATCACCACAATCTTATGATTTTATTGAAAAAATAAAAAAGAAAACAATACCAAAAAAAAGGAAAACAGTTCATAAGCATCTTCTTAATACAAATATACTTTTAGAAAATGATCCTTCTAAATTGACAATGAGGCAAAGAGTATTAAGGCAGAAATTTCAAAATAAAAAAGAAAGCATGGAAAATTTAGATTTACTAAGTTCAGGTTTAGAAGCTAAGCTTTGTAATAAAAAAATAAAAAAAAGAAAAAATCAGTTTATAATTAGGTTACCAGCATTTACAAAAATGAGATTTGAATGTGGTAAGGAAAACATTTTAGAACAAGATAATGTATTAACAAATTCTTTTAATACTAGTATTGTTTTATATTCTGGTACACAGCTATGTTTATATAACATTTTCCAATGTCCATTAATTATCCCAGAATTTAAATTAACGCTTGAAGATTGTGATATTTTGAATTGCAATGATTTAATATTACAAAGTGAAAATAATGAAATATCTTACAATGACACATGTTTTGATTTAGAGTGTTTGAGTTTTAAAAATGCAAAAAATGATAAATTGCAAACAATGCATAAAACAAGAAGAATTCTTTTTAAGGATTGTAAAAAAAAGAAAAATGATGCTTGCCTTTACAAGACAGCATTCTATTTATCAAAGCTTGATAATATAAAAACACCTGAAAAACAGCTTGTAAAAAAATGCTTGTACTATAATGATATTTTAATAAAGACATGGAAACGAAAAAAATGTATTTGTAAAGTTGTGGGAGAAGTTAAATGGTTTATTGAATTTTTAGAAAAAAACAAAAATAATTAGTGACAATTTTTATATGTTAGATTTGATTTTAATAAATAAATTTTGAGGTTATTAAATGTCAGTGTAAAATTTGCTAAATATATTTTTCTAACAAATGTAAAGTAAACATTCTGTTTTTTAATGTTTAGATTCGTGTTTCAATTTTTTACCCTTATGATTGACATTAATCTTCTTAGAGATCCTAAAACCAGAGAATTGGTTATTGAATCTGAAAAAAAACGATTTAAAAATACCGATAACATTGAAGAGATTTACAAAAAAGACCAACTAAGAATAAAATTTAATTTTGAACTTGATAACACTAACAAGAAAAAGAACGAAATTAAAAAAAAAATCAGCCAAATTTATAAGGAAAATAAAAAAGAAGGAAAAGAGTTAGCTAAAGATTTAATTGAAAAACTAAAACTTATAGAAAAAAGCTGTTTTGAATTGGAAGTTGAGGTTTCTACATTGGATGAAGAAATTAAAAAGATGTTAAAAGTTGTTGGAAATATATTAGATTCATCTGTTGTGGTAAGTAACAATGAAAGAGACAATAAATTAATAAGACAATTTAGAACTAACAGAGTTATTCAAAATAAAAAAAATTATACAGAATTGATGCAGAAGTATACACACAGTGTAGCCGGTGCTAAGATAATTGGGCATAGGGGTTATTTTTTGAGTGGTAAAATTGCGAAACTAGGAATGGCGTTAAGCAGATACGCTATAGATTTCTTAGAAAAACAAGGTTACACTTTTATTCAAACTCCTGTTATGATGAGAAAAGATGTAATGTCTAAAACAGCACAGATTGGTGATTTTGATGAGCAACTTTACAAAGTTGAAGATGATTTGTATCTCATTGCTACATCTGAGCAGCCTCTTAGCGCATTACACATGGACGAACGAATGGTTGATTCAGATTTGCCAAAGTTGTACTGTGGGCAGTCTCTTTGTTTTAGAAAGGAAGCTGGAGCTCATGGCAAAGATAATTCTGGTATTTTTAGAGTGCATCAATTTGAGAAAATTGAACAATTCGTTATTTGCAAACCTGAAGAGTCAAAGGAATATTTTTATAAAATGATAGGTCTTAGCGAGGAGTTTTATAAATCACTTGATATTTCTTATAATGTAGTAAGTATTGTAAGTGGAGAATTTAATGATGCGGCATCTATTAAATATGATTTGGAAGCTTTTTTTCCTAATGCAGATAAATACAGGGAACTTGTTTCTTGTTCAAATTGCACTGATTATCAGTCAAGGGAGCTTAATGTTAGATACGGCGTTTTAAAAGAGAATAATAAAAAGGGTTATGTTCATATGCTAAACTCTACATTATGTGCTGTACAAAGAACACTTTGTTGTGTTGTAGAAAATTACCAGCAAGATGATAAAATAATTGTACCTGAAGTTTTAAGAAAATACACTGGTTTTGATGAAATTGAATTAAATTAAATTTTTATTATTTTTTTGTAATTTTTTACCCCTGCATGACTGGGTTCATTACACCGGATGAACAAAATTTTCTTTCTTTTTATTACGAAAGTCTTTGTAATGATTTAAGTAGATTAAATAGGCTTTACAACAACAAATCAACACTTACTATATCTTTTGAAAATGGAAGTATAACTTGTTACACGGATAATTTTGCTAGTCGATTAAAAAACAATACTAAAAAATCTATTTATAAAGTCTTAATATCGAATATGGTATCACAAAAGATTGATAATAATATTATTGGACTAAATGTCTTAGGTCAGTTTGTATTTTCAGATAAAAATCAAAAAAGATTTTCACATAATTTTATTTTGCAAAAAACGGAAGGATTTTTTACGATTTTGGCTGAAAATGTAGTTATTTTAAATGAAGAAATTATTTATGAAAGTAAAGATTTTTATATTCTTAAAATTAATAAAGCAGACAAAACAATTAATGAGATTATTAATATTCTTGAAGAATACGGTGAGATAAAAAGTATAGAAACAAAAAATGAAATATTTTTATGTAGAATGGGACGATTAGATACTGAGATGGAAGACTTTTTAAATAAGATTCATAATAAAGGACTAAGTGTTTTGCTTTAATAAAATATTTTATTTTTTATGCTGTATATTACAAAAAGAATTTGTTTGTTATTTTAAAGTTGAAATTTATTATTTTAATTTATGCGCATAAACAGTATGATAGCAAATTATAAATAAAAGCATAAAAAATTAAAACAGAAAAATTTAATGAAATTTTTGTATGATTGATAAAAAGGGAACAAAATCAAAATAACATTTTTATTTCATACTATTCTGTAATAATTCTGCATATTTAGCATATGATGGCATTCCATGGATATTATCTTCATAAAAATAAGTAAAAAATATTTCTTTGAATAGATTACTAGATCCATCATCTCTAATTAAAACATAAAAAGGATTTATAAATCTATCCTTTTTCAGATTACTTATTATTTCTATCACTCTTGCACTAAAGTCATTTTGAGGTGGGTTAAAAATAATTCTCCCTGATAGCTGCTCTTCACCAAACAGTAAATTATAAACTTCAGCAGGACATTCTCTACTAATAAAGAAATATATTGTTACACCAGTGTCTAGAAGGTATAATCCATTGATTTCTAAACAATCAAGAGTTAAATTTTGGGGAGAAATTTCCTCGTGATGAAGTGGAAGCAATGTAGGATAAATTATCGTATCTACAATATTAGGATATGAATTAGCAATTAAATACATATAATAAGATCTATAATCTAATGGTGTATATGATACAGGGCGTAAAGGAATAGATTTACAAAGCGATAATATCAATAAAGGAAGAATATTTAAGGAACTGGGCAAATTTTGTACATCAAACTTGTTAGTATTTTTGGAATAAGATTTAAGAATAGAAAGTAAACTAGCAGATAAAAAGCTAGAGCCTGATTCTTTTTTTTGTATTTCGTTATAAAATGCTTTTAGGGCCAAAGATCGTGATATAGCGTAAGAATCAATACAGTCGTAAAATGATGCATTTTTGACAGGGATTTTGATATTAATAACACGTATCATGCGTGTACCATTTTTTGTTGTTCTCATTAATGCTACTTGAATTGATACACCATCTGCTTTAATATTATCTACTACTTCTAGATCGATATTAAAAGTGTGGGGAGGGAAAAATCCTGGAAAAGATAATAGATCTAAAGTCCTTTGTGTTAAAGAACCATTATACTCTTTTATAAAAACATCTCTACTAGTTCTTATTCTACACACACAATCATGACACATTCTAAGATCAAAAAAGTCACTTAAATCTTTATTCAATTTTGTGACAAAAACCAAATCACAACCATCAAAATTTGGATAATAATAAAGCATTCCACCAGTTGATTTTGATAAACCAGACAATGTAGGCAAGTCAATATTTAATCTAGGAAATAAAAATTGTACTACTGATATAAGATGTTTAGAAAATAATGATGCTAGTTCTTTATAAAAAATTTCTTCAGGCTTTAAAGTGTTATTCTGTTTTATGGCACCCGATCCAAAATTTGGAGTCGAACTAAGAAATGTTAGGAATATAGCACCAGTCTTACAAGTAATTGCATGTGCTACTTTAAGGCAATCCCCATAATTTATTTTTGTACACTTCATTTCTAAAAAAGATGATTCTAAGATACTAAAATCTATTTTTTCATTTAGAGAAAAAAAATAATCATCTTTTGTAAAGTAAGGAATAAATGTAGAGTCCGTTATAACAGTAAGATTCATTTTTCTATCTAATATGAATACCTCAGAGTTAAAAAACATAAACATAATTTTAGATCTTGGATCAAATGATGAATTATTAATAGAATCCATCAGACTATTTATAACTATCTGATAGATTCCTCTCTTTACACTTTCGTATGATATGTCTATTAAAATACAAAAATTTAAAGAAGTAGGCGTTCTAACCAAATAATTTTCAGGTGCGTATAATTCATAAATTGTAGACTTTAATTCAACTCTGTCGTAAGAATTATAGTTGGCAAATGCATTCTCTGCTAAACAAAACTTATCAGTATTATGATAAGAATACTGCCTATTTGTCATAAAAAATGGAGATGTCAGTTCATTTATGTTAAGACAAATATTACATTTCCATTTAAATCCAGGAGGTATTATTTGTATAAATGGATTTATGTATGATTTACAAGTAGAGCACCTAACAATTTCTTCTTCTGAGATAGGCACATCCTCATCATCAAATAGTTCTGGAATAATGTTTATTGTAAATGGAATATTAGAGTTTTTCAAAGTGCTTAAATTAGTTGGAATACTTGTGATTGTTGACGTATAATATTTTTTCTCATTTACAATAGAATATTGAAGTTCATTTTCAGTAATATTAGACATTAAGGGTAAAAAACAAAACTTTAAAAAATATGAAAAAAATTTATACATTTTATGAATGTAAATTTAGATATCATCTAACACCTTACTTTCTCCCTCATATTCTTTGTAATTCATAACGATTTGTAAAGATGTAGTAGCATCTGTTACGTCTTTATCTTCTCTTTCATTTAAAAATCTAGGAAATCTTAAAGAAAAGCCTTTTTCTTCAATGTCTATTCCACAGCAGTAAATTGGAGAGGCAGACACAGCAGCTGCTTTAATTTCCCATACAAATTTGGGGGTAATCCATACATCAGGCTTCGTTTGTTCTTTATATTTAACTCGGGAAGGAATTGACACTACATAATTATTTACTTCTTCATACAATTTGCTAAGCAATGAATCATCAAATCCCGTACCAATTTTACAGACAGTTTCAAACATTTCGTCATTTTCATTATAACTAGCCAAAAGAAATCCACCGTACCACCCAGTCCTTTTACCTTTACCATAATATGCCCCTACTACTACTAAATCAAAAGAATCAGAGCCACTTTCAATATAATCTTTTTTTAATTTGATCCAAGAGTTACATCTTTGTGATGGAATATAATTTGATCCATCACCTAATAATTTTATCATTATACCTTCATATTGAGAATTAATACTTTGTCTAAAAAATTCATCTACTTCTTCAATATTTTCACAATCCTTGAATTCAGAAAAGAAAAACTTCCCTTCCACCTCCGTAAATTCTTTGTGTAAAATTGCTCTTCTATCTTCCAAAGATTTATTAATAAGTTCCAAGCCATCAAAATATAAAATATCAAAAACAAAGACGCAAACATTTACTGTTTCTTTTTTTGAGAAATCTTTTCGTTTCCTTGTAGACAATTTTTGAAAAGTCAATATTTTTTTCTGTTCAGGATCGTAAGCTACTACTTCTCCGTCTATTACAAAATCTTTATCAGTGTTTGATTTAATAATTATATCAAAATATTTATATGTTGTATTCTCTAAATTTCTTGAATACAATGTCATTTGGTTGTTGTGTCGGTGTATTTGTATTCTTTCACCGTCGTATTTATTTTCACATGTAAATTTTTTATTTTCGACACGCTTAAATGCAGTAGAAATATTCTTGGTGGGTTGTGCTAACATCGGTTTAAGTGGAATACCAGGTTCAATATTGAAATTTGTATCTACTGTTGATATGCCGTTAGTAAGAATTTCTATAACAAGTTGTTCTATATCTGGTCGTCTATTATATGCCTCTTTTATTTTATCAATGTAAGCACTATCATACAATTTAGCAAATGCTGCCAGTACAGTTTTCAAGGCAAATTTTACTTTTAAGTTTTCTTCAAATAATCTGAATAAAAACTTTATTTCTATAGGAGTGCATGAAGAGATAAGATCCAACATTTTACGAATTTTGTAAATTCTAGATTTTATTCCGGAGATTTCTGCAATTTCTCTTAAAGCATATACAACATCTTTTGCAGATAGTGTTTTTTTAGATATAAAAAGTTGTCTAGTACGATAAGTCATACCAATAGTGCCAAAATCTCCAATTTTTGTATATTCTTTTTTTAGTATTGTAATATCTTTACTTGTACATTCTTTAAGCACATCAAAAAGTATTTTTTCACCAAGATTTAGTTGTTGATTTTTATATTCAGGATATATTGTATGTGTACAGAGATATATAACATAAATAAGATCATTTTTATTTATAGAAATAACATCTCTAAAATATTCTGTAAGCATATCCTGTATTTCTATTCTTCCAGATCTTTGACTTATCTTTTCCATAATTTTGCTAAAATACAAAAACGAGTTTGGTTTTATTTCATTTTCCATAAAAGGTTAAGAAAAATTAGTGAATGTAAACTAAAAAAAATATAAAGATGCTATAAGTTTTAAAATGATGATTTATTGGTTACAGATTATGTAAATCTAAAAAACATTAATGTTATAAATTACAAACTTTTTATATATATTGATGATTTATAGAAATAATATCAGATATTTTTTAAACTTTAAATATTTTTAGATCAAATTTAAAAAAGTTTATAATCTTCTTCTAGAATAACAACAACAATTAATTCATTCTATTGAGTCTTTGCTAAACAACTTGAATATTTTTCAGTAACAAAACACCTATCTCTATCAAATATGCTTTACCAAAATTCTATAAAAACATGAACGATAATGTAAATAGTGAAACTCGATAATAATTATTTATTTTGATTTTACATATTTATTGTAAAAATACGTTACAAAAGAAAAAAAAATAATTTTAAAAATTGGCTTTATAGATATTTAAAGCAAAAGTAGTAATTTAAGTTTAATCAATTTTATTTATAAGAAATTTTTATAAATATTTTAATTCAATTTTGTCCCATGGAAAATAAAAATAAAAAACTGATTTTTGTAAATTTTTTGTTTAGTAAGAAACATGGCATGGCAGTTGAAAATGCAATAAATTTTCGTGAAATTTGTAGTCTACTTGATATTTCAGAATCTTATAAATGTACTATTAATGCTTTTTTAGATAATGTTGAAAAGTGCACAGATAAACATTATAATGATGCTTTAAATCTCTTAGACACATTTTTTTCCAATGAAGTAAAGTCTAATAGTTTAGTCAATGATTTAATTTTCTGTATTATTAATTCAAATTTTGATTTTCTAAAAGTGTTTAAAAGTAACAAGCTGCGATTAGAAAATCTACAAATAGTTTATGAATCAGCATTTAATGAAAATAAGCCTTTTTTAAAAGAATTTAGTGCAAAAGATAAAATTAATAAAGAAGTAAAAAAGAATTTGTATTCTACACCCGCTGTTACAAGATTTGCGCCCGAACCTTCTGGTTGTCTCCATATTGGACATCTTAAAGCTCTGTTGGTGAATTATAATCTTGCGGAAAAATCTAATGGCACACTTTTGTTAAGGTTTGATGATACAAACCCAGTAAAGAATTACGAAAAATATGAAAAAGAGATACTTAGAGATTTAGATACACTTGGTATTACTGGTCTTAAGATTTCACATAGTAGTGATTATTTTGAGTTGTTAGTTGATGAAGCTGTTTCTTTAATTAATAAAAATTTAGCGTATGTTGATAACACAGACCAAGAAACAATGAGGATCGAGAGATTTGAAGGAATAGAATCTAAAATGAGAAATATAAATAATTCCGAAAGTCTTAAAATTTTTAAAGAATTATTGCAAGGCCGTGCGCCAGGATACTGTCTTAGAGCTAAGATTGATATGTCTAATCCCAATAAATCGATGAGAGATCCAGTAATTTATAGGGCTAGTGATAAAATGCATGGAAGATGCAAATTGTATAAAGCTTTTCCTACATACGATTTTGTGTGTCCTATTGTTGATTCTATTGAGGGGGTGACTGTTGTCTGCAGAGCGAATGAATATAAAGACAGAAATGAGCAATATAAATGGTTTTTAGAAAATTTAAAATTAGAAAATAAACCAGAATTTAATGATTTTTCTAAACTTAATTTAGAGGATACTGTTTTAAGTAAAAGAAAAATAGATAAATTAATAAGTGATTCATTAGTCACTGGATGGGATGATCCACGTCTAGCAACTATACAAGGAATAAAGAGACTTGGTATGCATATGACAGCTCTTAAAGATTATATTAATTTACAAGGAGCTTCTAATAAAACTAATGTTATATCGTGGGATAAAATATGGGCTATGAATAAAAAGGTAATTGATCCGCTTAGTCCAAGATTCATGGCAGTAGAGAAGATAAACTGTATTAGAGTGTTTATCACTAACTTTGAAGGATTAAAATACACTAAAAATATTCCTTTAAACAAGAAAAATACATCATTGGGTTCTAAAGACGTTCTTTTTAGTGACACTCTGCTTTTTTCACAGGAGGATGGTTTTGTTCTTAAAGAAAATGAAGAGTTTACACTTATGAACTGGGGGAATGCGATAGTAGAAAAGAAGGTAGTAGAAAACAGTATTGTTACAGAATTATACATAAAACTTCATTTAGAAGGAGATTATAAATCTACCACCAATAAAATATCTTGGGTATCAGAATCAGGTGCTGTTACTGCTACTGGAATAGAATATGGTAACCTTTTAGTCAATGAAGAATTTAATATTAATAGTAAGATAGATAAACAATACTATGTTGAGTCATCTATTACAAATTTATCTACTGATATGAAGCATGTACAATTTGAAAGAATAGGGTTTTTTTATTGTGATAGCCCTTGTGTCTTCCATTTAGTACCTTTTACTAAACAGAAAAGAACCTATTAAATTTTTTATTTTTGTTTAAAATGTAGTGGAGAGACATACATTTTTATAAAATACATTTAAGTTCATTAATTAATAACTATAGTCAAACCCTATTAATTATGCAACTATAGTCAAAACTTATTTATGAACAACTATAGTCAAAACTTACTAATGAATAACTTAAGTCAAAGCTTATCAATGAATGTCTTAAGTTTAAATTTATTTATAATATTTTTATTGTAATTTACCCATGAAAGAAGAACAGGAAGATTTACCCAATGACAAAAAATCACAAAAAGAAATAAATAATTCTGATGAAGATTCTGAAGCATTAGACCTCAATAGCTCTGATTCTGAATGTTTTAAGGAGGATTTTCGTAAGTACCAGGGTGCTATAGATGATCTATCAGAAGAAGATCTGCATAGATATGAAACCTTTAGGCGATCTAATTTTCCTAAAAATGTGGTTAAAAAATTTATAGCAAGTGTTATTGGACAGGCTGTTAATCCAAATATGGTTATTGCTGTAAGTGGTCTCGCCAAAATATATGTTGGTGAGATGGTGGAACTGGCTAAACAAGTTCAGGAAGAAAAAAATAATAATGGGCCATTATTGCCTTCTCACATTCATGAAGCACACAGGCGTATGTATGGTAAATTACCACACACCACTGTTTTTAAACGACCACCATGGGATTAATTTGTATGTAATAAAAATAAATTATTTAATAAACTGCTAAAAATAAATAATTAAAAAATACATAGTTAAGTTATATTTTGTAATAAAAAATTTTTAAATAAATAATTAAAAATACATAGTTAAGTTATATTTTAATTTCCAATTTTTTAAATTCTTCAATATGTTTAATATCTTCAAGAAATTTATCTACAAAATTAAACTTGTTAAACATAAATTTTAAAACTTCCTTATTAACTGCAGTACGTAATAATTTTAAAAAAATCGTCTCTTTACTTTTATCTTTAAGTAATGGAATAAAAAATTCAATATATTTTGTATAATCCACATCGCTATGACTTAATTTTTCATATACAATTGTAGTTATATAATTTTCATTCTCAGATAATCCATAAATTATATTTCTACTAATATTTTTAATTTCTTCATTATCATCAAATACTAAATTAGTCAAATAAATAGAATTACTTCCTAATCTTATTATATTTCTTTTTAAAAGACTGTATATTGTAAGTAGTGCATTCTTTCTTACTAAAATTTCTTGATCTGTAAGTCCATTAAATAAAAGCTTCGCATTATTTTCTACGAGTGAATTATAAAACAATAAAAAATCACCCATTGAAATTATAGCATTCGCTCGAATTTTTACATTGTCATTTGTAAATGCATTAATAAATAAATTTTTATGTTCTAAAAAATATTCAGAACTTACACACATCAAATTAAAAAGTGCTAAATAAGCTACTTCTTGTAGGTCTTTATCTTCAGATGTACAAAATTCGGGAATAATTTTAGCAAAGTCGTAAAGAAGACCATCTTTGTTATAAAAAATATCCTTTTCTTTTAGATAGAAGAAGAAATCAGAAATTTCTTCTTCTGTTTTATCATCTAAATTTTTAGTATCTAGTGACTCTTTTTTTATTTTAGATTTATTTCTATCATCATCCTCTTCAATAAAGGACTGTAAACTCATTCTAGATGCATTTATACTTTTTCTTCTTTCTTTTATATCTTCAGGAACAATTACTGTTATTTTTTCTTTTTTACTTTTAGAAATCTTTTCTAAAAGATCTAAATGTTTAAGATGATTCAATCCAATGCATCCAACACAATAAATCATTTTTAATAAATTCAGGTTTTTATTGTTCATCGATTTAATTAAATTTTTAATAGGAATTTCTGGCTCTTTAGAAATTCTGTAAATTAATGATATAGAATCTTGTATAACTTGAAAATCTAAAAATGTCATTTTAACTATATTTTTAACTATCAGTGCTATTATTTTAGAATCTTCTGATTCTTTATGCTTAATTCTTAACTTAAGAATATTTATATAAATGTTTAGTGCATGGTGTAAATCTTCAGTAGTAGAAATACTAAATAAAATATCAGTAGTGTGAACTAATAATTCATAAAATTTAGAATTATCTAAATATTTACCCAAACAGGACAGTAAAAAAGATGTTTCATATAAATCCTTATTTCTAAAAATATCAGTAAATAAATCTTCATAAATATTAATAATCCCTTTTTTATACAATTCTCTTATTATTTTTTCAAATGACTTATTTCTCTGTTGATTCACAAATTTCTTTAAAAAAGAAATAATAGAAATTTTTCTAGCTTTCAATCTTATTAAAATATCCTTAAAACAAGAAATAATTGAATCTGTTTCCCATACAAGATCAAATGTTTGCTCAAAGTAATCTTTTGAACCTTCTATTTCATAATATAAACATAATTTTATAAAATCTAAAAAAACCTGATTATCACCAATAGATCCAGAATTTAATAAAGTCATAACTTTTTCTAAAATAGATTTTATGACATCATGAAATTCATTAAGGTCCTCATAATATTTTATTTTTTCTGGATCTACACTTTCTTTTTTTGATAAATTAAATTCAGAGATAAATGGATTATTAATTAATAGGTTATTACAAATCATAACAGCTTTTTTTCTAACTAAAACTGTTTTATCCAAAATTCTATCTCCAATACTTTTTATTATTGAATTACGAATGTCTAAGGGCACACAGTTATTTTCAAATAGCTGTCCCAATAATGTTAATGCTTTATATCTAACATTAAAATATACATCATGCAGTCTTTCTTTTATTAAAAATATAATATTATTTATTCCTTCTATATCTTCAATTTCTTTATAAATTTCTACTAAATTAAAAATAATTTCAAGGTAACAATTTCTCAAAAAATAATGTTCCGAATCAAGAAATACATCAAAATGTTTAAAATTAATAAATAAATTTCTTTGTGTTTGACATAGACTTACTAAAACCAGAGAGCAATTTTTTAAAATAATTTGATTTGTCTGCTGAATAGCCATCCTCACAAATTCATCACTAATTTCTGGTATAAAAACCAAAATTGCATAAACAATTTCTGATGATCCTTCATTTAGTAAAAAGTTGTAAATATAATTTATAATGTTAATATGTGATGCACACATTTTTATAATTTCTAAAATTAGTAATTTTATCTCATTATTCTTTTTTCTATCTTTTGTAAATTCTAAAATTAGAAAAATTATTTTTGCTATCCAATCGTATTCATGCGTAGATTTTAAATTTTTAAAATATTCGCATAATTGAATAACAAGCTCATCTTCGTAATTATTTTTTAGTTTTGTAATAAGTTGGAAATATAAAGGAAAAGATAAAGAGTGATCATTAGAATTTTGACTAATTAGTTTAAATATTTTAACTTTGTGTTTGTAACTGTCAGACATTTCTATTAGTAGATTGTATTCTTCTAAGTTTGATTCCAGGCTTGATTTATGCAATTTATTTATTATTTTTTCAATTTCGAGCATAAAGGGTTAGAAAAATAAGATTTATTTTTCTTTTTTAATTAGAAATGTGATGCACTAGAACGTTAAGGGATATGAATTTAATAATAAACATAGTATAAGAATAATAAAAATATGTCATCATTTCTAAGAACCACTTCCAATACATTTAAAATATTATTAAACCCATGTTTAATTCCAACACACAGAATTTCATTATCGTAAATTACAGATCCGATAAATTTTACTTAGAAATAATGTTATATTACATTCTTTAATTAGGATTAATAAAACATGTAAATCCTTTATCTCGCTTTTTAATCATTAAAGGCGGATCACTCTTAACAAGACAATTTAATATTTCTATACATTTGTATCTTGGTACACCTGACTTTTGAATCAGATCTTCCCACATAATACCTTGTTTATTTTTATTAAGCACATCCAAGACTTTAATAAGATGTCCTTTATTTACTTTACTCAAATTTTTATCTGTAAGCGCTTTAGATAGTACATCGTTTTTCAAATCAAATAATAAACTTGTATCTAAAGATGTTTGTGACATGTCAACAGAAGAAATTTCTTCGGATTTGTAATTTCTACTTGTTTGTTCTTTTTTTAATAGTTTAGATACTTTTTGTATATCAGGAATATCATTAAAATTATATTCTTTATTTATTTTATTATGATTTAAAATGGTAGGTTTGCTAATTATCTCATTCTTATAACAATATTGTTGTGTTTTAATGGTATCCTTACTTTTATCTAAGTTTTCATCTTCTTGTATAGTAAATGTTTCTAAAGAAACTATTAATGCTTCCATCTTATAATTAAACTTTTTTAGATGCTCGTTTTGCATAGAAATTTTCTGTATTTTTAACTTTATTTCATCCAGTAAAATTGGGATCATTGGGGTGCAAAAGAACAGTAAATATTAAAGAAGACAAGTGTTAGTAAATATAAAGGGAGATAAATTAGTAAATATAAAGGGAGATAAATATAAGTAAATATAAAAGATTATAAATAATAAGACAATAAATATTAGTAGATATAAAAGATAATAAATATAAGTAAATATAAAAGATAATAAATAACAGTAAATAATAAGACAATAAATAACAGTAAATTTATTAAAAATATTATATTTATCTTTTGCAGATAATTCACATAAAACATGATTTTTGCTTCTCAATTCTGTTTTGAACGGGTTTATACGTAAGACCAAAAAAATGTTCTAGAGTCTTAAATTCCAGTGGTTGTTTAAAGTCTTCTAAAAACTTCTTCCATAGATCTTGTCCTTTCCACTGTGTACCATCTTCAGTAGTAATAGAAATTTGTTTACCTGCTATTTCACAGATATAAACCATTTTCTGTCTATCATTTTCTTTGTAGCTTAAATACACCCTTTTAGCTTTGTAATTTAATAAAGGCTCTTTAGTGTTTTTATTTGAACTTTCAAAGGAAAGTTCAAGTACTTCAAAATACGTATCTGAGCCTTTACTTAAAGTAAAAGTAAAATCTTTAAGTAGAGGTTTAGACAATTTAAGATTTTCATTTTCTCTTTGTAGTAAAATTGCCTTAAGAATTTGCTGTTCTTTAAGTTTCTCTTCTATTTCTCTTTCTAGATCTACTTTTTTATTGTAAAGTTTTACTCGTGTAGTGTATATTCTCGCAAATTTAGAATAAATAGAATCATTGATTATGTTACCTTCCATAAAAGGGGTATTTATTGTGCAAATGTAATAAATATTTCTTTTATATTAGCTGTACATAATTGAATACATTTTGTGAGAAGACAGAACTATAGTCTTTATTATATATAAATTTAATAAGTTAAAAGAAGGTTTTTTAAAAATGTTTATAGTTAAAGCCTTCTTATTACAGCATTTCTCACATGCTCATTTATATATTTGTAAACTTTCTTTATGATTTAACAAATTTTCGTATCAAAATTGAGTCACTTTTTATACTTTTATTTATTTCCTCTTATTGTACAAAAAAGAATGTAACCTGAGAAATTATTTATTAAAATCATCTACTAGATAAATTTATGTAAATTCTTTTACAAAACACTTAAATAAAACATTATATCATTTATTTAAATAAGACATATTACAACGAATAAAAATCCAAATAAATTATATTTACAATAACTTCATATTAAAATGTCAAACTAATGCTTGTTTTTGATAAAAAATCAGTAATTTTTTAAATAATCCTCTTCAATAATATTTTTTGATCAAAGCAAAAATTTTCAATTTTTATTAAAACTTTATCAAATACTAAAAATGATCTGAAAAAAAATAATTAGTATTCTTATTTAAATTTTAGAATATAGTTGTAATCTTGTAAAAATAAATATTAAAAATATTTTTTAAAATTTATCTTTTTTACAATTATTTCGAAATATTTATGTTTTTTTATTTGTTTACTAAATGATCTGTTATTACTTTTTTTCATGCATGTTTATTAATTTAATTCTGTTATTTTCAATTTACTTACGAAATCAAAAATAATTAATCACTCAAAATCTAAACATAGCATGTCTTACTAACTAGAAATTTCCCTTAAATTGCGTCAATCAAGGTATTGTTTATAAATAATATTTATTAATAACAAGCTGTGTTTTACATTTTGACTTTTAAATGATTAACTCTGATATAAAAAAACATTACAAGCCTATTTATTAACAAAAAATCAAGCCTTATGTTCATGAACCCTAAAGAATGGCAGAGCATACTTGGTCTTCTTAAATTAACACGGTATACAAAATATGACCATAGATATGGTAGACAAATAAGAAAATCAAGATTGCAGACTTGTGTACTAAACTATGTCTTTGAAATTACTAGATTTCCTTCAACTTCTACTATAATAGACTTGGCTTTATTAATTAATATTCACCCTAAAAGCATACAGAAATGGTTCCAGAACACAAGACAAACTGCAAAGAGGAAAGGCAATGAGGAAGAAGACAAATCATATGAGAATAATATAGTAGATTTACCAATACCCACTTTATATAATCTTATGGAGAGAGCCAAGAAAAATTGTTAGACTGTTATGTAATTAAATTGTATAATTAACAATAATTTTTAATTTAAATTGTAATACTCAAAAAACATTAATCAATTAAAACCCGATACATTTACAATTTAATTAATAATTAAGTAGTGTAAATAAATTAAAATTAATTTATTTTTAATTAAACATCGAAATAATTTTGCATAGATATAATACAAATATTAATAATAGTAGAATTCTTCCTATTTTTTTAAGTGTAGAACATTTTAACCACCGTTTCTTGTATCTTTCTAGATTTTTATTACTTTCTTCCAAATATATTTCTGAATTTTCTAAGTTACACAGTAAATTATCTACTGGATTCGCATTTTCTTCAAGTAATATTTTTATGTATTCATTTAATCGTATAAAATGTTCAGCATCTTCTTCAATATTTTGCAGTGCATTTTTTCTTCTTAAAGCCTCCATTTGTTTTGTAACAAAGATGTTTATACATTCCCTTCTTTCATCAATGTATTGTGAAAGTATTTTGTTTTTAATATTTCCTGTTTCAACTAATTTATCATTTGAATTTATAAGTGAGTGCATCTCACTTGTATTAGACAAACTCTTATTTGTTTGATATTTTAACTTTAATAATTTTATATTTTTTAAGTTTTCTGAAAATTTATCCATGCGTAAATAAATAAACACAAAAAATAAATACGCATGAAACAAAGGAAAATAGGAAATTGTATCAGAAGTATAAATTTTAATGAAGTTAGATGGATTTTGTAAAAAAGCTATAATTTATAAATTTGTTATAAAAATTTATAGAACTAAATTTATAAGAAAGATCTTGTACTGTAGAGCTCTTTTGGGGGTATTCATCAGGAAATCGGTCAGTTGCGAGATGAGTTACAAGAACACTTAAATTTTTAAGGTTTGTTCTTGTGGTCCCATGGGCGAAATTGGTGTAAATTTTAAGTTAAGAAAATTTATTAATGTTTAATCGTGATGGTCTACGGCTGTTTGCTCTTTTGTTTTAATGGTACCTCGAATTCTTTGTTATTTTTATAGTTTCATTTGTTTGATATGAACATTTTACACACGAAAAGCAATGATATTAACAAAGAATAAAGTAAAAATAAACAAAGAAACTATACAAGTTCGATGTTGGTAATGGAAGATACTACTACATCTGTAAAAAAAAAAAGAACTACAAAATAAAAAGAACATATGTTATATAAAAGTAAAAGAGTAAGTGTTACCGTCGGTAATCAACAAAGCAGTATTAAGACACAAACTGTAAGAAATTAGTAAGACGTTTTGTATCGAATCAAAATATAAACTTTTTAAAAAAAGAAAATATAAACACATGCCGAATAAGCCTCTTTCTACTAAAAAGCAGTCTACCTTCCATAATTACCTAATTAAAGATAACAGTAGGATATTGTAAATTAATTATAAAAGAAATTTAATTTTAATTAAAACGGTAATTTATTGTTTTAAAATTATAGATAGTTTAATTTAATAATAAGAATAAACATTGATGTACTAAAATAACATAAATAATAAATTAATTTTTTTCTACAGACATTGTTTTTTATATCACTCATTTATTAAGCAAATATTTGTTTACAACCCTTTTATGCTAAGAAAGATAAGAAAACACCGTCTAATTCAAATAAATAGTATTTTAGATAATTTTGATAATCTTCCTCCAACTTTACAGACAGAAAAATATAAAAAATATCTGTTAAGTACTAAAGACAGTTTACTACCACACAGTAGACAGATTAATATACCTACAAATAAAATAGGTATAGTTATAGGGCCGAAGGGTAGCACTATAAGACATTTAGAAAAAGAATATAACTGTGATATATTTATTAAAGATAACACATGTTTAATAGAAGGTAATGAAGCAGATGAAGTTGTAAAATTTATTGAAGATTTATTAAGTACTAATAAAGTATTTATTGTTGAAAAGATGACAGATTGGGAAAAGTTTTATGTGTGGTGGTCACACCACAATAAGCAAAATATATAATGTTTGTAGGTTGCCAGTTAGTAATAAACTACTATACATATTTAATTAGAATATTTTATTAATTGAAAATAATCAATATAACTATAATTACTTTATTCTTTCATATTCACCATTACTATTTTTACATATTAAATCTTCATTTTCTAAATCTTTAAGACATTCAATCATAAGTTTTTCATTACTTTTTGTTTCATTAATTAATCCTAAAATGTCCATCTTCTTCTTTTTAAGTATTTTTATAACACTATCCTTTAAGACTTCTAATAATTTTTGTTTAGATGCAGATACACCAGAAATAATCATATCCATGTCAATTTTACCAGTAACAGGATCAATAGCGTACATTAGAAGAGATTCCTTAACAATCCTTAAGGCTTCATTAACATCAGAAGGCATGATTACACTAGAAAAACGCATTCTCGCGTGTGCTTCACTTAATCTTATAAGACTTTCTAGTTGTCTAGTCGTAGCAGTAATCGTGTTGCCGTTATCAATTTGCCTTAAATCGCAATATGCTTTACTCAACACTTTAATACTATCTTCTGTCAATTTAGGGATAATTCTTTTAGCCTCTCCAATATAAGCTTTTAATAAATTAATATCAACAGTTCTAATATCTTCTTCTTCATCTGTATACATATTAATAATATGATTACCAATTTCTTTATCCCTTGACTCATCAAATCTATCAATAAGAAGACATACAACATCAAATCTACTTAATAAAGTAGGAGGCAAATTAATATTATCAATTATACTTTTTTTTGGATTATATTTACTTTCTATTGGATTACAAGAAGCTAAAATACTACATCTTGCATTCAAAGTAGTAATAATACCCGCTTTTGCTACTGACACAGTCTGTTGTTCCATAACTTCGTGTAATACACTTCTGGTGCTATCACTCATTTTATCAAATTCGTCAATACAGCAGATACCATTGTCAGATAAAACAAGAGCACCCGATTCTAAGACATACTGTCCTGAATCCGGATCTCTAGAAACACTGGCTGTTAAACCTACCGCACTTGTACCTTTTCCACTGGTGTACATACCTCGCTCACATATTCTATTCATAAAACTTAATAATTGAGATTTAGAGATACCAGGATCCCCCGCTAATAGAATATTAATATCTCCTCTTAGTCTCGAATTCCCCAACTCTTTCTTTACACCACCAAAGAGTTGTAACAAAAGGGCTTTTTTAACGGAATCCATTCCACAAACTGATGGAGCTATAGACTTATAAAGTCTAGTATACAAGTCTGGATCGCGTCTTAATTCATCAATCTCTTCTAAATAGTCTCTTTTCTTTTCTTTCTGATTCTTAACACTAAATGACATTAATTCTAAATAAGTCCTAAATGTACTCTTTATCTTTTTTAAATGTGCATTTAATCGTACAGGTACTGCCCTTAACACCCCAATAATTTCAACTTTATCCCCAGGAATAAGACTGTCAACTAAATCATCTCTAGATATAATAGTTAAAGTTAGTGGTGTAGTACCATCAGGTATATTTTCAGATAATTCTTGTATTTTTACAATCTGCTTATCATCATAAATCCCTTTGTTATGTTTTAATTCAAATGTAAACCTTCCACTACATTTACATGTAACAGGCTGTGTAATCAATCCCTTAATACTTTCTACCTCTACAGTGTTTTTACATTTTATACAGGAAAATGATGCCTTAGATAATTCTGGTATTACACTAGATGTTCTAAGTACCATACCATTTACTTTAATAATCTTATCGATATCTTTAGGATCTATATTTCTTATATTAACCTCCTTTCCAATATTTATACATCTAATTTTAATTAAACTAGTAGTATTAGGATACGATTCTAGAAATACTTCTTGTAGGCCATTCTCAAGAATAGGTAATGTTTCTAAAGGATAGTATAAAATCTGATTACTAAGATTAGCGGGTAATAAACTACAATCAAGAGTAAAGATGTATTTTTTAGTCATATTCATATTCTCAAAAATATGTTGATAATTTTCAATATTTTGAATAAATTCTTTAAACTTTTCTGATGTCTCTTGGACATTAATAGATGTTCCCCAGATAAGTTTTACTCTTTCTGTTTCAATAATAGGAGAATAGACCGTAGAAGATAAATCTTCATGAGATGGTGTAAGATTAAGAGTATTGTCATTACTAGCATCATGAAAAGAAAAGACAGAAGATTGTTGAGAATTTGATGTCATTGAGGGTATAAAAAATTAATATTTTTTATAGTAAAAAATCTGTTATATATTCTAATAATTAGAAGATTAATATATATAAAAAGTTTGAATCTGATAAATATTAAATTTACATTAGTTTTCTGTATATATTATTAGGTTCTTTAAAAGTTAAGTTATATTAATACAACAATTTTAACATTTATGTATTAATGGTGGCTTTTTTAGTATAAATTTACTGCATACTTTTTTATATTATTTCATTTATGCTTTTTAATATTATTTTTATATTCACTGCATTCTTTTATTTTATGCTATTTTATTTTTAAATATTTTTTATCCCCTAAATGTCGGATAAGTTAAAATTAAAATATTCTAAGAAACCTGTAAAGGGGGATATCTACAATCTTAGACATCTTAAAGTTCTTATAGATGAGATTTTAGTAGATTTCTTGGTAAAAGACCTTAATTACAAGTTAAATAATACTTACACAGATTTTCAAATATCTGTAGGATTACTTAGCACTGTTCTAGCAGCATTATTAACCTATTTCTCAATGAATTTTGAATTTAAAGATTATAAAGTATTTATGATCTGGTGTCTGTGTATTTATTCTGTCCTCAATGGGATAGTATACATTTTTGATACATTAAGAGGTACTACTTATTATTTTACTAAAGTAATAAAAAATAATGTACAAGAAGATAAGAATGATAAAGAGACAGAAAAAGTAGTATCAATACGAGTTTGTACAGAGATACTACCACCTAATCCTATTTATACTTTATTAGTGTATAAAGACAATAAACTTATACCTGAGAAATGGTCTAAAAGTGTATTTGAACTATTTAAGGAAGATGGTACGTTAAATGCATCCCAGTTTTTAGATGATGTTACATTATTTTTTAATAAATAATTTTATGAAAGTTTGTTTTCTTTTCCCAACAATTTTTTTAAATATGACACACAAAAGATTTACAATCTTTATTTTTGTTTATTTATGTTACAGCCCATTACATACGATTACAATTCTTCTACATACAAAATATTCAATATTCCTGTTTTATGTGATGATTTCTATGCCACCTCTAAAAATATTCTCATTCTCGCTAATAATACTATAAAAATATACACACATAATAAATGTACAAGTATTAAGTTATATAAAATTATAAAACACAATCTTATACTTTTTATAGATAAAAAGTGTATTATAAATATATTATACAGGTTATTAATAAATAATTATAAAACTATTGAAGATATTATTTTATATTTAAAAGTAGATAATATTCGCAAAGTACAAGAAATGACAGAAGGATTTCTTATTACATATAAAGATGGTAGTAAAGTATTTTACAATCTGAATTTAGAAATTATAGAGAAGCCTTGTTGTTCTGTACTTAAACCACTTAAAATTAATACAGTTATAAAAACAGGTGAAAGATCTATATGCATAAAAAAAAATGAAATAGAAATAGATGGTAGAAGTTTTGAATGCGGAAATATTTTAAAGGTGGTAGGCTATGAAAATTACTTATTTATAAAAAATGAAAAAATGTTAAAAGTATTTGTATTTGAAAAATAAATATTTTTTTAAGTCTAATTAATGTTTTATTCTAAGCTGTTTATTATTCTAAGTACTTTTTATTCTAAGTACTTTTTATTCTAAGTATTTTTTCTTCTATGTATCTTTTTATTCTATGTATCTTTTTATTCTAAGTACTTTTTTGTAAGACACTAAAAATTATTTTTAACAAATTTTATTTAAATAAAATGTTTATTGATTTAAATTATTCATCTTCTGTTATTTTTTCAGAAATATAATTCTTTAGATCTTTAAGACTCGGATAAACATTTTTACATCTACTTACTGCTTTCACAATTGAATTATTAATTTTGTCAAATATTTTGAGGTAATGTAATGAATCTTGATTTTCTGTTATAACCAAGTAAATAATCTTAGTGTGTTTAAATAACTCATTCCCTTTAGTATATTTCTTTAATGTATTACAGACATTAATTAACTGCTTCAAAAAATCCAATTTATTTAATTTTACACTAATTTTCACGGAACAAACATCTACTAAAAAATCTCTTAGATGATTCAGAGAAGAAATAATTAAATCTTTTTTTTCTTGTAAAATATTTGTCTTTTCTACTAAATTTTTAAAATTAGGAATTTCATTCTCAACAAAGCTTTTATAACTTTTTCTAGAATAATATTTAAATTTTCGAAAATTTTGAAAAGCTTTATGCTCAGGATCGCCAAAGAATTTTGCTTTTTCCATTTTTCTAAGTTGTTTAAGAAGTATTTTTTCTTGCTGATTATCTGTCTGTTCTACAGCAAATAAATCAAAAGCTATAAAAGACAAAATTTTAGCACAATTATCCGCAGATACATTTTGTAATAGCTTACTGCTATCAATATTGTTAATTGTATCGTAAATATTATCATTACTTCTTAAATTCTTATAATATTTGAATGTTTGCTTTACGTCATAATCAGAGATTGATTGTACATCTTTAAAGGTGGTATTATTTTTAACTTGATGAATGATTTGTTCATCCAAATCTGATACTAACCCGTCACTTTCATTATCGTTATTCTCAAGAGGTTCAACATCTAACTTGTTCTCATTTACGAAGACAAATCTAGATGCATCAAGATCTAACATTAATGAATCTATAATCTCACTTAGAACGTTATCTGATAAAAAATTCTCATTATTTTCAGCTTTTGGTATTGTTGTAAATGTTTTCAAATGATGTTCATTATTTGAAAAAATATTTTCCGCAGCATTAAACGCTTTGCTTACATTGTTCTTAGTAGTATCTACATTGCTTTCACAAGACTGTAAAGAATTTGAGTTCATAGATAAATTATCTGAATTTAGTGAACAGAAAATTATTTTTATGCAAAAAATCATGTAGGGCTTTTTAAAAGCAAAAATTTAAACTTTTTTCTAAATTTTTAATTAATTTTATAAATTACAACCAAATAATTAAATTATTTGTATGTATTTAAAGATACTTTTTACAAGTTTTTTTAACCATTTATTTTAATTTGTAAAGTAATTAGTTTTGAAAAATAAGATAATAAAATTTTAAGGTTTTAAAGATTAAATATATTTAATTTTTTATTTTTAACATAGTTAATAATTTTAGATTTAATATCATTTTTTATTGTTTATGATAAAATTTTATGCTTCAGATTCAAATAAAATTCTAATAAATGATTATTTATCTTTTCAAATATGTTTATATGATAAATAAAATAATTATTTATTTGTAATTGTTAATTAAAATTGTCGAAATATAATAATGTTGTACATTATTGTATAAATTCATAATATTTTTTTACCCGATGCAGGAAGAAAGCAAAGTTAGTAAAAGTGTTATTGATAAAAATAAGAATAAAATTTATATTTAACAGTAAAAAAGAAAATGTTTTTTAATTTATTTGATTTAAAAATTATTGTAACTAACTTTCTTGTTTTTTAGAATTACTGAAAAACTGTAATGTTTTTACTAACGAAGGTTTCTACTTCGCCAATCATAAGACTAAAACCTCTGAATTGAAACGTATGAGAATGATCTGTAGCCTTCTGTTTCAGATAAACAAAAAAAGCTAATTATAAATAAATATGCATATTAAAAGTAGTTCTTTTCGTCTTCCGAAACCACCATCCAGCCCGACTAGCCTTCGGTTATTGTTTTATTGCATAAAAAAATATTTAAATTTATAATTTTTTTAATTAAATCGCTCAATTAGGAAAAATTACAAATTTGTGGCTTAAAACTAAAAAATTGGGAGATCCGGGGTTCGAACCCGGGACCCTTAGATCTTCAGTCTAATGCTCTCCCACTGAGCTAATCTCCCATGATCAAAAAAATAATATATATATCATTGTAAATATTTACCTTCCTCTGGAAAAAGCGATAATATACAATCCTTTTTTAAAATAAATATTGTAAGAAATAAATTGTAAAATTTAAAAATTAATTAATAAGACAACTGTAAGGTTAAAACAATTTAAAAAGCAAGATTATCATTTGTACATTTAATTTATAAAACTAAACATTTTATTTATCATCATCCATAGTCAGTATGGCATTTCTTGATTCTAAATAATATTTCTGTACGTCTTCTTCAAATATTTCAGATTTATAAGGAATTTTTAGTTCATCAATAAGTTTATCTAACATTCTTTTACCATGTAACTTATAGTAACCTAGAAAAAGACATATTTTACTTAATAAAAGTCCAATACTTTCATTATCTTCCTTTATACTTTCACTTAAATTATAAAGTATTAGCTCTTCTAAATTATCAACATTAACATTGCTTTTACTAACTAAATCAGAAAAATTCTCTAAATTTCGATCCTCCAAAATTTTAACTAAGATTTCATTGCAGTCAGCTTCTTCCACAGTTTCAAAAGCAACTCTAAATGAATCTTCTGTTATTTTGTATTTAGGTTCTAATACTTCGATTAAATTATTTATCTCTTTTGTATCTTTTTCTGTTGGATTGTTTTTTGCCTTTAAAATGTTTAGTTTTTCTTTTAATTTTCGTCTTTCTTCCATTTTTCTTTGTCTTTTAAAGTTCTTGTAGCTCCTTTCGTCTATGTTTGGATGTATTTCCGATGAACTTGAAATATCAATGGATTCAGAACTTTCTTTTGAATTCTCCATAAAGGGAGTGAAAATGTATTTCTTAAAAATTAACAAGATAAATTAATAATAAGATTAATTAATTTAAAAGATATTTATATTGGAATGTATATTTCTTATCATAATGATCTTTTTTATGCAAATTAAATATTTAAGAAAAATTCCTGCGTGACGTAGAAAGAAGACGATGACACTTAAATAATTTATTATAATGTGCAAATTAAAACTTTATGATAGCAAAATACAAAAGCATAATTTAAAAGTAAATGTATATTATAAAATTCTATTACCTAGAAACTACAAGAATATATTATATTTGAGTAAAAAAATTACACTATCACAAATCTTAGACAAATAAAAATGTCGAAGTAATTAGCTTTTATTGCACATCAGTGTTGACACATTTTACAATGACTACTTAAACTACATTTCTAATACTAACAAAAGATGTAAAAATTAAACAACAAATTAAAGACATAAAATATCTTTTAAATACCTTTTTTCTCAAAAATTATGCATAATTTTTATAAAAAATTAATTTCTTCCATAAAATCACTACAAATAGCATAAATAAATTTGGCATTTTCTCCAAATGGTACAAGAAAATAATAAAAATCAGTATCTTCTTTTTTTGAACTACTACAAATAATAGCACACTTTTTGCTAAATTTGTATATCTTTACATTTATATCTACGTAAATTTCATATGAAAGATTTATTGTTTTCTTAACATAAGTAAACATCTCTGTAATATTTATTAATACGTCATCGTATGTAATTATTGCTATAGAAAAATTATCCAAATGATTTAACATAGATAAGTCTACTAACAATTTATCATTATTTTTTACATATTGATACACTGGTAAAAAATAATACTTATCTTTTACTTTTATTTTTAAGGTATTAATAAATACACCTCTATCAGTTTTTATTATAAAACAATCTGTAACATAATTTGATTCTAGTTTGTTAAAAACAGGTGTGTCATTTTTATAAATTAAATTACCAGATAAAATTTTAAAATAATATCTTTTTTTCATAAAATCATATTCTTCTAAATATTTAACATCTTTAGGTTTAAGGTATTTACTCCAATTAAATCCTAAAATATAATTGTATGAAATATTAGTAAAATTATCAATAAGATTAATATTAAGAGTGTCCTTTAATCTGTTAATAATATTATTAAGACATAAGTAAGATATTCTAGGAGAAATTTTATGGTACATTCTGTATACCTTAAAATAAAAAAAAATGTCTATTAAATTATCTTTTGGTAGTCGTAAAATATATAATGTTATTTCTAAAGGCAAAATAGGTAGGATGGTGGCATAAAATAACATGTTGGGTTTTAATTTTAAAATGTCGTCTAGCAGTTTTGTACTAGAATATTTATGTGTAAGATTATGTAGACAGTTGTTATCAGTTGATATTAAATGTCCATTCATGTATTTTTTATAAAATGCAAAATACCTATTATTTTCAGCATTAATATAAATATTGTGTCTAAAATCAAAATCTGCTTTTTCATTTACTGTCATTTTTTTGTTATCAAAATTATTCAAGTAATATTTTAAATACTTGCAAAGTTCAGATTTGAAAAAATCTAAATTTTCAGGTAATATTTCAGAATCAAGTGGAATTTTAAGAGGGCCGAACACATATCGTCCATCTTTTTGTACACAATAAATATCAAAAGGGATATTAAATATAGATTCCTTGCTTGTAATTCGAATATTAAGATGACTTGTTGTATTAGAAACATTTGATTCTATATTTTTGTAGTGTATTTTTATAATTTTAGATTCTTTTATTCCAGAACAGAACACGTTAATAATGTTTTCCATTTATGCCCTTAAAAATTAAATCTTTTTATTGATTTTTAATTCAGTGTAAAAAATTTAACATCGTGTTAGTCTTTCTCGTAAATTTAGTAAGTCAAAAATATTTTTGGTTTTAAATTCATATTTTTAGACTAAGAGCATTTAAATGGTACCAATAATATTTACAACAAAAATATAAATAACTTTTTATTTCGCATAAAACTACTGAATTAAATCTTTTTAATGATAATTTCTTCTGTATCTGTTTTTATCTTAAATTTATAATATTGTTTTATTCTCCTATTTAAATCAAGAGATTTAGTATCAATTATAAGACTTACTAAATGTTTTAAATCTTTTCTATACTTTTTCTTTTTAGTATCAATATAATACTCAATAATATCAATTAAATCTTTTGTAACAACACCTTCTGTAAATTGTATATAATTACAAAGAATCTTAATAATAATTAATGCATTAATATTTTTATAAATCTTAAATAAATAGTTGTATATATGCACCATATATTCTAAATGTAAATCCTTAAAATAATTTCTTAAAATAAATTCATATGCTTTAAGACATCCACATCTAATATTAATATCATTATTCTTAATATTATCTTCAATAAACCCCAAAAGGATATTTTTATTATTAGAAATCATTAAATCATCTAAAATTCCTTCACAAACATCTGTACAACTTTTATTTCCAAGGTACAGACTAGAAGTCAAAGCCATTAAAAAATTTATAAAGCAATAATCAGAACTATTACAACACTTTTTTGTATACCTAAGGTATAAATATTGAATCCTCCATTTTAAAGAGTTGGCTTGCAATGAGCTAATAGCATCATCGGCATATATATCACTACAAATATCAATATTAATTTTATTAAACTTTTCTAAATAATACAAAATTTCATAAAACTTTTTTTGATAATCTTTATTCTTTTTGCATTCATCTAATAGTTTACTTAAAAACTCTAAACTGATAGTCATCCCAGAGATAAAAAATTTAAGTAAATGTAAATTTGTCAAATTTCCCAATAAAATTTCATCAACTATAATCTTTCCATCTTCCTCTAAGTTTGGAATATACTTACCTAAAGTAAATAATAAATCATTAACTACAGCACTATGCTGATAATGGCAAATAATAACCTTAAATAATTCATGTTTTGTAATCTCCCTTATAATATTTTTACTCATTTCTTTCGGAATTAAATTTCTTAATATTAAATCCTTTTTAATATTCAATTCATGCGATCTCAAAATATTTCTCATAGTAGTACAAATTACAAAGAAATCTGTAGGTATTTTTGTACAAAAAAAATCAGATAATTTGACAATGAGATTTTGATGATCAGTACAATAATCTAGAAAAGTTGGCATAATATTAATAATAAGATTATCTTGTTCATACAAACTGAAAAATACAGAGATATCATTATTAGTACTAAATTTCAATAAGTTAACATCAAGCTTAATAATTTGACTAAGAACATTTATATCAACCGCACTAGCAATAATCTGTAATAATTTAACAGAGGTTATCTCTCTAATCACAGAAATGTAATGAGGAATTAAAAATAATCTATTTATGTAAAAAAATTCTTCTGCCAATTTTAAATCAGTTGATTTACTTGTAAGAATATCTTTAATAAGATTTTTTAAATTTTTAGATAAGTCAATCACAAAATTTTTGGTCTTTAAAAAATGTATATTATTATAATTTGTAATTTGATTAATAATCTTCATAATAGTATTTTCATAACCACAATAATCTTTATTAGATACCAGTAAATTAATAATATATTCAAGTTCAACTTTTTGAAGATCCATGGAAATTTTTATTGTTTCTTCATTTTTATCAATGCAAAAAATCAAATTTATATTTTTTTCGCATAAATTTCCTTGATCGATCTTAGGACCATTTATAATATAATTTGTATATTTAAGCAACAAATTGTATGCATATTTTGTATTAAAATTAGTTAAACGACTTTTAAAGTCAAGTTTTCCAATTAATTCATCAAAATATAAATTATAAAATCTTATAAAATTGTTATCATCATAAAGTTGAACAGCAAATTCACTTTTTATATTAAAAAGTTCTAGAATGCTTCTTAGCCTCTTATCATTTGTTTTGTAAAATATATCAAGAAGATTTTTAAACAAGTTGATAGAGTGCCTATCATTATTTAAAATTATTCTAATTAATCGATAAGCTTTTTCTTGAAAAGCAGTTTCAATGTGACTTAAAATTAAACTAGTAATTAAATCCGAATTTTTCACAAAATCTTTGTACACAAATAATATAGAATATAATTGCATAATTAAAGCATCAGATTCTAACTCTAAAATTGTTTGTGCTATATAATTAATAATGTTTTCTGGTGATGTTTCAATATTTCTATTTGTAAGTACTTGTATAATTTTAGACTGATATTGTTTAAGTTTTGGATTAACTTCTCTTTCCATAAAGGGGTTGAAATTATACAAAAAGTAAAGCTGAAATATTTTACTGTTTTATTTTTAAAAATTTATGATTTATTTTTAAGTAAATATTTTAAAAATTTATGATTTATTTTTAAGTAAATATATAAAATTTATATTATATTTTTAAATAAATATATAAAATTTATATAATATTTTTAAGTAAATATTTTAAAAATTTATATTATATTTTTAAGTAAATATATAAAATTTATATAATATTTTTAAGTAAATATTTTAAAAATTTATATTATATTTTTAAGTAAATATTGAAAAAAATTATGTTTTATTTTTAAGTAAATATATAAAATTTATATTATATTTTTAAGTAAATATTTTAAAAATCTGTGATTTATTTTTAAATAAATATTTTAAAAATTTAATCTTTTTTTAGCAATAATTTTCATCTTTTTTATTTTTTACAACATAAAAATTACTATATAAATAAATTATCTTAATTAATCAATAGCTCTAAATTTACAATTTATAATAAATTATTTTTATTTTAATATTCACACAAGTAACTTAATCATTAATTTTATAAGCTATACATTTGTAAAATATTAAATTTTTGTAGATCGCTTATCAATTGTATACAGAACATTGTTTACATATAAAAAATCGAATAATATAATTCTTATTACATACAAATACAAAAAATTCACTTTATCTACATTGTAATAAATTTTACGTATTCTAAATTTTCTAATAAAATTACTCTGACCACACAAATACTTATAAATTTTCCATAAGTCTAATTTCTTCATCAAAACTATCTTCATAAAAAGGCTTTTCGTACTTGACACCAATACTTTCACATAAATTAAACAACATATTATGAATTTCAATAGTATTAACTTTTGAACATTCATTTTTTAAATGTTGAATATGTCTTGATTTTACACAAAAAGACATACCAGAAAGAAGGACAATTAAAATACGAAGCTTCATTTCTCTATGAATTTTTATATTAAAAAGTGAACTAATGGCCGTCTCTTGGATTTTACTATTTTTACATTTCAAAAGTCCACTTAAAAATTTTGTGTATGAAAACGTTTTCAATTTGTACGAATTTCCTATAAGTTCAATAATAAAAGGTAAAAGATCAATTAAAATTAAATCTAAACAAAATAATGAAGCAATTTTACACACAAGCTCTACATCTTTAAATTTCCAAGGAGCACAAAGTATTTTTAAAAAATATTTTTTGTTTTTTTTAAGAATTAAATCAATTTTGCTACCAGTTTTATGCACCCCATTTTTAAAATGATAACTTAAAAAATTATAAATATTGTCTTCTGACTCATATCTCACTGATTTTGAAAAAATAACTGAAAGCATATCATTTATGTGAGTACATTCAATACTAGAACATTTATTACCGTATGCAATCAATTTATCTAAAAAATTTCTTGCTTTGTTATTACTTTGTTCATCTACTAAAAGAAATCTCCCAACATTTTTCATAAGTAAGCAACAAATTTCAATATCTTTCTGTTTATAAAAATATTCTAATAAATTAAAACACTCATTAAATCCTATATACCTAAATTTAATTAGCTCCGATACTAAAAATATTGTATTAATTAGATCTGTGCGATTTGTTATTTTATTTTCAAAAACATCTTCAAGAAGTTTATTAATACTTTTTTTACACAAAATACCACAATTTCTAATTATTCTTGCCAACACTGGCATGCAAAAAATATTATTTTTTAATTTATTGTATATAACAGGTATCATTTTTACATTTTCTGTTTTTCTAAGATATTTTGATATCGCGTCTATTTTTCCAATGTCCAGCTTATTACTTTTTAAAATTTCTACAATGTCTTTTGTTTGTCTTGGAATTGTAAAATTATCTTCTCCTAAAAACTTACAAGTATAGAAATCAAACTCGTTTTCTTTTAATTCAATAACTTGTTTAAAGTTGTTATCAGACTTTTGTTCAATAATGTCTATGTTTAAAACCCGACATATATTTAAAACACGTTCAGAATATTTGTCATCAATCTGGTTCATGTCTAATTGCCCAATTTTAGTTTTTTCCTTATTTATAAATGCAATTAATTTTTCATCATTAAAAAAATATAAGACATATTCCATATAAAAAATTTTGTATAAATTAGACGCATCATTAAAAAGTGATTTTAATGCTAATTTATAATTAAACTTTGTATCAGTAAGAATTTGTATTTCTATGAAAATAATCTTATGCCAATAAATTTCTGTCGAATTTAAATGTGTAAATAACATATTAATAAATTTATGATCTTTTAGATATATGGAAATAATCCTAATAATATTTTTAATATCCTCTAAACATGTTACTTTTAAGCTTAAAATTGAATCAATTATTTCTGAAAAAAATTGTTCCATATTCTCAGTAGACAAATCTTCAAGTAGAGGTTGCAAGCTCTCATTTTGTAAATTTTTCAACTTCTTAACCAAACTGATCTTTTTTTTTAATTGTGAATTGCGATTTAAAAGTGATTTAGTCTGTGAAAGATGTATGCGTTCAACATTCCATTCCATAAAAGGGCCTAATTTTTCTATTTGCATTTTTAAACGCAAATAACATAAACAAAAAATCGCTATTTTATAAAACTTTTAAAAGTTTAAAGTAAATTTCAAAGGTGAAAATATTAGATTTATTTAGTTGTGATTAGTTAATACAATTGATGTATTTAACAGATGGATGTAATTTAAATATTTATAAATAAATATTTAGAGGCTTAAAAATAATAAGAATATTAAAAATAATAGATTTATCATGCAATTTAGTTTAGGAAAGTCTATGACAAAAAAATAAAATCTTATTTTTTATACTGAAAATTTATCTTTGATATAAACAAGATTAATAACATGAAAGATGATTATTTTCTTAAATAAAATCATGTGATTTTTTAATTTAGAAAAATGTAGCAATTACATTATTAACTTTTGTTGTAATTTAATGTAATTAAGATTAACCATATTTGTAGGTATTTACACAATTTCAAAATCTTTATAAAATATTTTTTTTCATTAATTCCTAAATTAATAATTTATACAATAATTTATCAATAAAATTGTAAAAAATTAATTTTAATAAAAAAAAATCACAAATACATTTTAAATTTCTTTTTAATCTTTATTAAACAATTACAGAAAAAGAGTACAGTAATTTAATATTTTAAAGCTAAAAACCACAATTTTAAGAACTAGATTGCCAATAAAGCCTTCATAGCAATAAATTAAAATCTTTTGTATATTAGAACTATAGACAAAATCTGTAATAAATAAAAAAATAAATAAATAAAAAGTTTATTGTTAAAAAATAAAAATCAGCAACAGAAAAAAAGCCACCATAAACTCCACTGTAAAAACAAAATATAAATATTGTGCTTAGACGCCAGCATACCTTTACGGCCTTGCTTATAGGAGAAAAGAACGTTCTCTTATGATACAGAATCCTCGGTCTACTTAAAGACCATTTCTCACCTTAAGTGAGTGCACAGAACAACATCGCCTGGCTCAATACACCATTTAAGAACACAACTCAGTTCAGCGGGGCGATACAGCAACAGTATCATGCCTGACCTCTT